ATTTGGGCCTATTTTGAGGTTATTTAGCTGGGAATTATGTTGGAGATCGGTTTTTACGAAACGTTTTTCAAGCCAAGTACGCCCTTCAATAACAAGACTAGATATGATGGTAATTTTGAGATTCGGTCCACAGCTATTTGCTTCTTGTAGAATGTGCTGTTTTTTCTCTGTAGAAACTTAATGTTTTAGAACTGTTACATGAATGTATGTTAGATCACGAAGTTTTTTGCAGTAAGTAGAATCGCTTTAGTTTCGAGTTTCAAAATAAGATTTTAAGGTTTCCCAGCGCAGTCAAAAAAGTGATTCCGTTTTTTTTTTTGGAAATTTGGTTAATTTCATCCAAAAGTGGTGTCAGCCTTAAAAGAATCCTGGCATTTAGAATAACTGAATAACTGTAGTCTAATAGCTTCAGAAAAATGGAACTTCGTTTGAAAGTCCGTAATTGATTTTGAAACGGTATCAGTCAGTTTTTGCGATTACCTCGACTTCATAAACATGTTTTGACATTTAAAACTGAATCTTATTTCGGACAAACGAAGAAATAATTATGACATGAAAGTCTTTGATTGTTTTTTGTTTCCTTGCGTTCATTAATATTTATTCAACTGTCTGTTGTCTGTTTTGTTGAAACATAAACAGCTTTTCTTACACATCTTGTATCTTCTTAGATCTTATATATTAGTTGAAAGTCTTAATGCGCCATGGACGCAACGTTTTAATTTTTCTATTGAGAACAACGTTTAAGAATCATTCAAAGCAACCATCAGAGAAAAATGAACCCGACCCAACTTCAAGGCTAGACAGTACTTGCCTATTTTTGTCCAAAATTTTGCGTTTACAGATTCATTTCAGTCTGAAACGAAAAACTGAAAACAGCAGCCTTCATGCTGAGAAATTTTTTTTCGAAAACCGATTCGATCCATGAAATAAATATTTCAAAGTTTCATAGCTTTATCATTCAAAAGTTTATAGCTATAAATCTGGTTTAGAAAAACTGAAACTTTTCGCGTACCGATTCGGCAAAATGATTCAGTTTATAGATAAATTGAATTATTTCAAAACTTCTAGCTGAGAAAAACTTGCTTAGAAGAACTTAATTGTTTCACGAACTGATTCAGTCTATGAACTAAATTGAAATTTTTCAAAGTTTCGTAGCTTTAAAAGCTTGCTTAGAAAAATATAAACTTTTTGCGAACCGATTCGGTCTACACAAAAACTTGATGTTGAAGCCTAAAAAAGACATCTCAACTTTCTACTTGAACTAAATCTACGATTGAACTGATTTACTTATTTAAAACCGCATTTTTACAAAAATCAATTGACTTCTATCTATAACTCGTGAAATAATTTACACTCTTTGCGAATCACTAGTTTTATTCAGTCGGATTGGTGATTTTTCATTTCCCAACTTTTGCTGCACAACATTTTTGGTGCAACGCGACTCACGAACGAACGAAAGATTAGAAACAAAGAGGAAAGTTAAAAATGTCATCACCTGCTAGTGACATGAGCAACGTGACGCTCACTCTTCCTGCTTTGAAGCGATCAAGAAGTGCTAACATCGGTGTCATTACCCGATCGGAAAATGCCGTCTCAGCAATCTTCAACAAAGAGGCATCTGCTCTAACCTAAAAGGAAATTGGAACTCTCAAGGCCAATCTCACGATGTGCGAACGAAAGAAAAAGGAACTGGAAGAGCTTAATCAGCAAATTTCAAATTTTCCAAACGATGATGAAGATGCACTTGAAGTTGAATTGGAAGAAGCTGAGAAAATCTACCTTCAAGTAGATTGTTTGATGGAAATGATCACAACTATGTTAGATGACCGAGGAAAATGTTCAACTGAATCGGTCAAAGATGACGACAGCGCAAGCGGAACCGGATCCTACAAATCCACTTCCCAACGTGGTGCTGGTCGAAAACAAGATACTTGCCTGAAGTTGCCGAAACTCAATTCGCCAACATTTAGCGGAAGGTATGATCAATGGCTACCTTTCTTAGATTCCTTTGATGGAGCAGTTCACTCAAATGCATCGCTGTCTGATGTTCAGAAACTGCAATACCTAAAGGGTGCCCTCAAGGATGAACCGTTTCGTTTGCTATCACACTTGCCTACTACAAACGCGAACTACTCAGTCGCAAGGGAACTTCTAAAGGATCGATATGCTGATGTCAAGATGATCTCACACGCTCACTTGGAAGCAATTTTTGAATTCACTCCAATGAAGCATGAGTCATCCGCTGCAATACGTCGCTTGATTAACACCTACACGGAAAACACGATGGCACTAACAGGACTTGGACTAAAAATTGATCAATGCGATTTGATCTGGGTTCACGTTTTGGCCAAGAAATTAGATCCTGAAACTAGAAGACAATGGGAACTTTCCTGCGCGGGAAGTGACATGCCAAAAATCAAGCAGATGAAGAAGTTCTTGGAGGAACGATCTCGCGCCCTAGAAGCTACGAAGGACCTCCAGTTACCTTCAATTCATAGAAAAAATCATCAAGGAAGTTCAGACCAATCTGGAAACTCTAAGAAAGATGACAAGGTACAGACATACCACACGAACTCTGCTAAGACGATCATCTGCCCATGCTGCAGTGGTGATCACCGCGTGTATCAATGCACAAAATTTCAGGAAATGTCTATTTCCAATAGAAGACAAGAAGCCAAATCAAAGCGATTATGCTTCAATTGCCTGTCCCTTGGACACCAAAATCATGAGTGCAAGTCGAAGTCAACGTGCCAAACCTGTCGAAAGGGTCATCACACGTTACTTCACATCCATACAGACCCAAACAAGCAACCAGGACCTGAAAATAAGTTTGCGGGTCATGGGGGTACTACTTGTGCCACTACCATACTGGGAACTGTACTAATTGAGGTGAAAACTGCAAATGGCGGTTATCACAATTGTCGAGCCTTACTGGACCTGAATGCGGATCTGAATGCAGTTTCGTTACAACCAGCTGTGCTAACCGACTCAAGCTACCAATCAAGAAATTGACTCTTCAACTAACTCGAGTTTGCGGAGGAGCAAAAACTGTGAAATCTGGTTCTGTCAATCTGGAAACAAAGGATTCTCAGAATCAATCTCTACATATTGAAGCCTTCACTCTTCAAAAACTTTCTGGCTACCTGCCCAGAGAACGGGTGAATATACCGAACAGTTTGGATATCACACGTCTTAAGCTCTCGGACCCAGACTTTGACAAACCAAAGGAAATCGATATAATCCTAGGCTGTGATGTTTATAACGACATTGTTGGCTGCGAAAAGATTAAGCTTACAGACAAGCTTTATGCACGTGACACTCTTTGGTTGGATGATTAGCGGCAGAACACCCGGTCCTCCAACAACCTTCTTCAAGTCATTTCATGTGTCTATTGACGATAGTCTAAGGAAATTTTGGGAATTAGAAGAAATTCCTGATTTCAAAAAGACAACAACAGAAGAAGATCGATGTGAATCTCACTTTAAGGAAACAACCATACTACAAAATGGACGATTCACTGTGCGATTCACCGGATGTTTTTGCTTTTTAGTTTTTTTGCGCAAAATCAGGTACCACATTTTATCATTGAAATGGGTCGGGTGACATTACATCATATTAAAACCCTTTCAGTCGCGGTTCGAACGACACCATAATTTTCCAAATTTTTTCTAGTGATTTTTTGATTATAGTTGATTTTCAGCAAGCGAATAAAGCAGGCAAGATGGCTTATATTAGGAGGTTTAATTTTTGTATTAACCGTGAAAACTTAAATTTACTCCAGTAAAAAAAGAACGAAATAACTTTGTTGATTTTTTGCTTTTCTGTTTCGCTTTTTGAAGAAACTTGTTGTCGAATATGCGTAATTTATTGTTAGTAACGAATATGCCTAAAGTCATGGCTTTCTTTCAGATAATCTTATGACACCATGGGCAATAGTAACACTTTTTTTGTAGTTTTTAAAGAATATGTTCGGAACGTTCTGTGCTACTTGCACAGCAACAGATCATCCTTGTTTTTTAAGTGTCTCGCAGTTCGTGTCTTTCCAGCAATAGTTGTAGAATTTGTTCAATATCATTTTTTTTTTGGTATTTGATTTTCCAAATAAGTGTTCCCAGCCAAAAACCAAGTAGATTAGATATGATGGTAAATTTTGAGGCTATTTGGGCTTATTTTGAGGTTATTTAGCTGGGAATTATGTTGGAATTCGGTTTTTACAAAACGTTTTTCAAGCCAAGTACGCCCTTCAATAACAAGACTAGATATGATGGTAATTTTGATATTCGGTCCACAGCTATTTGCTTCTTGTAGAATGTGCTGTTTTTTCTCTGTAGAAACTTAATGTTTTAGAACTGTTACATGAATGTAGGTTAGATCACGAAGTTTTTTGCAGTAAGTAGAATCGCTTTAGTTTTGAGTTTCAAAATAAGATTTTAAGGTTTCCCAGCGCAGTCAAAAAAGTGATTCCGTTTTTTTTTTTGGAAATTTGGTTAATTTCATCCAAAAGTGGTGTCAGCCTTAAAAGAATCCTGGCATTTAGAATAATTGAATAACTGTAGTCTAATAGCTTCAGAAAAATGGAACTTCGTTTGAAAGTCCGTAATTGATTTTGAAACGGTATCAGTCAGTTTTTGCGATTACCTCGACTTCATAAACATGTTTTGACATTTAAAACTGAATCTTATTTCGGACAAACGAAGAAATAATTATGACATGAAAGTCTTTGATTGTTTTTTGTTTCCTTGCGTTCATTAATATTTATTCAACTGTCTGTTGTCTGTTTTGTTGAAACATAAACAGCTTTTCTTACACATCTTGTATCTTCTTAGATCTTATATATTAGTTGAAAGTCTTAATGCGCCATGGACGCAACGTTTTAATTTTTCTATTGAGAACAACGTTTAAGAATCATTCAAAGCAACCATCAGAGAAAAATGAACCCGACCCAACTTCAAGGCTAGACAGTACTTGCCTATTTTTGTCCAAAATTTTGCGTTTACAGATTCATTTCAGTCTGAAACGAAAAACTGAAAACAGCAGCCTTCATGCTGAGAAATTTTTTTTCGAAAACCGATTCGATCCATGAAATAAATATTTCAAAGTTTCATAGCTTTATCATTCAAAAGTTTATAGCTATAAATCTGGTTTAGAAAAACTGAAACTTTTCGCGTACCGATTCGGCAAAATGATTCAGTTTATAGATAAATTGAATTATTTCAAAACTTCTAGCTGAGAAAAACTTGCTTAGAAGAACTTAATTGTTTCACGAACTGATTCAGTCTATGAACTAAATTGAAATTTTTCAAAGTTTCGTAGCTTTAAAAGCTTGCTTAGAAAAATATAAACTTTTTGCGAACCGATTCGGTCTACACAAAAACTTGATGTTGAAGCCTAAAAAAGACATCTCAACTTTCTACTTGAACTAAATCTACGATTGAACTGATTTACTTATTTAAAACCGCATTTTTACAAAAATCAATTGACTTCTATCTATAACTCGTGAAATAATTTACACTCTTTGCGAATCACTAGTTTTATTCAGTCGGATTGGTGATTTTTCATTTCCCAACTTTTGCTGCACAACATTTTTGGTGCAACGCGACTCACGAACGAACGAAAGATTAGAAACAAAGAGGAAAGTTAAAAATGTCATCACCTGCTAGTGACATGAGCAACGTGACGCTCACTCTTCCTGCTTTGAAGCGATCAAGAAGTGCTAACATCGGTGTCATTACCCGATCGGAAAATGCCGTCTCAGCAATCTTCAACAAAGAGGCATCTGCTCTAACCTAAAAGGAAATTGGAACTCTCAAGGCCAATCTCACGATGTGCGAACGAAAGAAAAAGGAACTGGAAGAGCTTAATCAGCAAATTTCAAATTTTCCAAACGATGATGAAGATGCACTTGAAGTTGAATTGGAAGAAGCTGAGAAAATCTACCTTCAAGTAGATTGTTTGATGGAAATGATCACAACTATGTTAGATGACCGAGGAAAATGTTCAACTGAATCGGTCAAAGATGACGACAGCGCAAGCGGAACCGGATCCTACAAATCCACTTCCCAACGTGGTGCTGGTCGAAAACAAGATACTTGCCTGAAGTTGCCGAAACTCAATTCGCCAACATTTAGCGGAAGGTATGATCAATGGCTACCTTTCTTAGATTCCTTTGATGGAGCAGTTCACTCAAATGCATCGCTGTCTGATGTTCAGAAACTGCAATACCTAAAGGGTGCCCTCAAGGATGAACCGTTTCGTTTGCTATCACACTTGCCTACTACAAACGCGAACTACTCAGTCGCAAGGGAACTTCTAAAGGATCGATATGCTGATGTCAAGATGATCTCACACGCTCACTTGGAAGCAATTTTTGAATTCACTCCAATGAAGCATGAGTCATCCGCTGCAATACGTCGCTTGATTAACACCTACACGGAAAACACGATGGCACTGACAGGACTTGGACTAAAAATTGATCAATGCGATTTGATCTGGGTTCACGTTTTGGCCAAGAAATTAGATCCTGAAACTAGAAGACAATGGGAACTTTCCTGCGCGGGAAGTGACATGCCAAAAATCAAGCAGATGAAGAAGTTCTTGGAGGAACGATCTCGCGCCCTAGAAGCTACGAAGGACCTCCAGTTACCTTCAATTCATAGAAAAAATCATCAAGGAAGTTCAGACCAATCTGGAAACTCTAAGAAAGATGACAAGGTACAGACATACCACACGAACTCTGCTAAGACGATCATCTGCCCATGCTGCAGTGGTGATCACCGCGTGTATCAATGCACAAAATTTCAGGAAATGTCTATTTCCAATAGAAGACAAGAAGCCAAATCAAAGCGATTATGCTTCAATTGCCTGTCCCTTGGACACCAAAATCATGAGTGCAAGTCGAAGTCAACGTGCCAAACCTGTCGAAAGGGTCATCACACGTTACTTCACATCCATACAGACCCAAACAAGCAACCAGGACCTGAAAATAAGTTTGCGGGTCATGGGGGTACTACTTGTGCCACTACCATACTGGGAACTGTACTAATTGAGGTGAAAACTGCAAATGGCGGTTATCACAATTGTCGAGCCTTACTGGACCTGAATGCGGATCTGAATGCAGTTTCGTTACAACCAGCTGTGCTAACCGACTCAAGCTATCAATCAAGAAATTGACTCTTCAACTAACTCGAGTTTGCGGAGGAGCAAAAACTGTGAAATCTGGTTCTGTCAATCTGGAAACAAAGGATTCTCAGAATCAATCTCTACATATTGAAGCCTTCACTCTTCAAAAACTTTCTGGCTACCTGCCCAGAGAACGGGTGAATATACCGAACAGTTTGGATATCACACGTCTTAAGCTCTCGGACCCAGACTTTGACAAACCAAAGGAAATCGATATAATCCTAGGCTGTGATGTTTATAACGACATTGTTGGCTGCGAAAAGATTAAGCTTACAGACAAGCTTTATGCACGTGACACTCTTTGGTTGGATGATTAGCGGCAGAACACCCGGTCCTCCAACAACCTTCTTCAAGTCATTTCATGTGTCTATTGACGATAGTCTAAGGAAATTTTGGGAATTAGAAGAAATTCCTGATTTCAAAAAGACAACAACAGAAGAAGATCGATGTGAATCTCACTTTAAGGAAACAACCATACTACAAAATGGAAGATTCACCGTGCAGCTGCCTTTCAAGCCCAATAGTCAACTTGGCGACAGTTTAGCACAAGCAAAACGCAGATTCAATTATCTCGAGCGACGACTGGAACAGAATCCAGAACTTAAAGATCGCTATACCGCATTCATAGACGAATTTCTCGATATGGGGCATATGGAGTGCATACCGCCTGGAGAAATCGAAAAGCCAGTTGATAGCGTATATTATCTGCCACATCACTGCGTTTTCAAGGAAGATTCTACTACCACAAAGCTACGTGTAGTTTTCGACGGATCTGCAACAACATCAACCGGACAATCACTCAACGACACTTTGATGGTTGGTCCCACGGTACAAGACGACCTCTACTCGATAATCATGCGCTTCAGGTTCTACCCAATTGCTTTGTCAGCAGATATCGCAAAAATGTACCGACAAGTTGCTCTAGAGGACAAATCGAAGGATTTCCATCGCATACTTTAGAGATCAAATAAATCGGATGAAATCAAGCATCTCAGGATGACACGTGTTACATATGGAATAGCTTCGTCAGCGTTTCACTCGACAAGATGCCTCAATGAAGTAGCAAATCAATCTAAGAACCCAATGATCAAAGAAAGTCTCAAAAATTGTTTCTATGTAGACGACTTTCTTGGTGGCGCTAATGATAAGCATGAAGCAGAAAGACTCATCTCTGATTTATGCGAAGAGCTGAACTCTTATGAATTCCCTCTACGAAAATGGACTTCAAGCAATGCTAAAATAATTGAAGGATTGCCAGAACATCTCGGATGTGCTGGAACTTTTCTCTGACGAATACAAAATCAAGGCGCTAGGAGTCAGTTGGAAGCCCAATAAGGACATCTTTTGTTTTTCAACTGCCTTACCAGAGCTGAAACTGCTTACAAAGAGGACTATTCTGTCCACAATTTCAAAATTGTTTGATCCGATGGGATGGCTAGCTCCATTCATCATCAATTTCAAATGTCTCATGCAACAGCTATGGGTCCAAGGTTTTGATTGGGATTCTGAAGTCGATCAGAAAACCAAGGAAAAATGGTATGAGCTCACCGGAACATTGCCTCAACTACTGAAACTACAGATACCAAGATCTATGAGCTCACATCCAATAAAGGAAGTTCAACTTCACGTATTCTGTGATGCTTCCGAAAAAACATATGCAGCCGCAATCTATGCAAGAATTACCAATGATGATGGCAAAACTTTTGCATATCTACTGACCTCCAAAACAAAGGTTGCTCCGGTCAAAGCAATCTCTGTTCCCAAATTAGAGCTCTGCGGTGCAAGTTTAGCTACCAAACTTCTTAAATCAGTTCATTCAATTTTGAGGAAAACAAATCTCAAGATAACTTCACACGCCTGGACTGATTCAACAATTGTCTTGCAATGGCTTGCTCAACTTCCAAGAACGTGGAACACTTTTGTTGCAAACAGAGTTTCACAAATACAAGAGACCCTACCCAGAAGCGATTGGAAACATGTGCCAACAGCAGTAAACCCAGCTGATTTAGCCTCTCGTGGTGTATTAGCTGACACATTAATATGTTCCTCACTCTGGTGGAATGGACCAGATTGGCTGACCAAATATGAAAGGCACTGGCCCAACCTACAACCATCTCTAGTTGAAGCACCTGAAAAACGAACCGTCAAAGCCAGGACTAATGCAGAAAGTGAACAAATTCGAACTGTTCTCGCAAATCATGCTCAAAACGAAGAAATGACGGATGGAATTTTTCGTTTAAAGAACTACAGCACTTGGAACAAGACAGTACGCATCGCATGCTATGTACTATCATTTGTTCAACATCTTAAGCATAGAGTATCGACAAACTATCGGAAGCGGCTCAGATCTAAGCGGACATCTGATGTACAACTTGAAGAAGATTGTCTTAGTCCTAAAAATTGAATCATGGCAAAAATGCTAATTCTTCGTTTAGACCAAGAAATACACTTCAAGTCAGAGCTAAATTGTCTAAAGGTGAAAGGGGAGCTGAGTAAAACATCGAAACTACTCAATCTTAGTCCGTTTTTCGACAAGGATTACGATCTACTAAGAGTTGGAGGCAGACTTTCACAATCGAACTACCCAACAGACAAGAAGTTTCCAATACTCGTTTCGAAAAAATCTGATTTAGTATCCCTACTTATACGCAAATATCATGAAGATACTCTTCATGGCGGGGGGCAATTAGTACTGAACACAATGAGAGAGGAAATTTGGATAATCGGAGGCCGTGATCTAGTTCGACAGTTCATTAGAGGATGCATGAGATGTGTCCGATTTAGTCAGCAACCTACTTCTCAATTCATGGCTGATCTTCCTACAGAAAGAATAACACCCGCAAAACCATTTGCTCAATGTGGAATAGATTTTGCTGGTCCCTTTGAAATTAAGGAAGCAGAGGTCTCAAAAATTTATGTTGCCGTCTTTGTTTGTCTCGCGACAAAAGCTATTCATTTGGAAATGGTTACTCGTCTAACCAAAGAAGCAGGCATCCTTTCATTGAAACGATTTACTGCACGCCGTGGCAATTCTGAGAAGATCTTAAGTGACAATGGAAGCAATTTTATCGGGGCTCGAAATGATCTGATCAAAATCAAAGAACTGCTCGACAAAAATGGAACGGACAAATCAGTTGTTAGTTTCGTCAATAGCCAAGGAACTGAATGGGTCACCATCCCTTCTCGTGCTCCTCACTTCGGAGGACTCTGGGAAGCAGCTGTAAAAAGTTTGAAAAGACATATGCGAAAAGTTATAGGACTGCAATTCTTAATCAAATTGAAGCTGTCTTAAATTCACGACCATTGTATCCAATGTCAAGTGATCCTAACGACCCAACTCCGCTGACACCCGCTCATTTTCTGATAGGGGAATCATTGCTAACTCTTCCCTCTGCGGACATCCAAGTTTCAACCAATGTACGATATCGACTATTACAGAATATGATCAAGGATTTCTGGAAAGTTTGGCAAAGGGATTATCTCATAACGCTACAAATACGGAAAAAATGGTTCACGGATGGCCCAGAATTTAAAGTTGGCAACCTAGTCCTTCTTGCCGAAGACAATGAACGACCGCTAGAATGGAAAACTGGACGAATCATAGAAGTTTATCCTGGAAATGACTCAATTGTTCGAGTGGTAAAAGTGAAGACCACAACTGGTGAATACGTACGCCCAGTCGCGAAGCTGCGGAAGCTACCAGTATAGCAACCAAGTCATATCCAATGTGCAGATCATTTAAAACAAGAACTTTATAGTGCTAAAAAATCGAAAAATATCAAAAATGTGCAGTTTTCAAATTTTAAGAGGTAGTACCCCCATGACCCTTTTGAGAGTAGGAACCTAAATTACCCCCTATGCAATGCATTATGGTCTGAATCGTTCATATTGACCACTTTCATGTAAATTCCCAATGTTGTATGTTCATAAAAGTCGAAAATGATGTAAATTTTCATCAATTTTTGTGCTAAATAGTGCATTAAAATTCGTATGAGGTTGTACCCTCATGACCCAAAATAAAATTATTGTCTGAAAACAGCTAGGATACGCCTACACTACTGTCTTGAATGTAACAATAGGCTCTCTGATCACGTCAACTGTTAAATTGTTATATTTGCCTTTAAATTATATTCAAAGATGTCGTATTGTAATGATTTACAACCATTAATTCGCATAAAATGTTTTTTCTAAGTACACAAATTTTCGCTCATGACTCGTACCGTTAATACTTCTCTTGTATACTCCTTACTTATGGTGCAGTCACATTTAGTTCATTTATTGAATAACTGTTAACATATTTACCGTTGAACAGTCATTCGCTGTCATCTGGTCCATTTCGCTTGTTGACCCTGCAGTGTTGCTGGCAGCGCTTCCACGCAGATGCTACCAAGGAAAGTCTAGTTTGCATCTCCGTCTAGTACATACAGCAGACCCTCTCTTCGTCGCAGAGAGTCAGAACTGCATGGCACCACGCATATGGAAGATACAAACTTTTCCCCTCCTCAAGAACACCATAGTGGACTAGTTTCTTCTGCCGAGGACCAAGGTTCCTCAGATACTTAGCAGCATCAGTGAACCCCATCTCCGAATCATTGCTACCGGCCAGGCGCTCAAGTTCACCAGAGAGATTAACTTCAGATGTCATCAGCCACAACTTTCGGCCCCCCAGAAGACACAAAACAGCATCATCTTCCTCATCCAAGTCTTGATGGAAAGTCCGGAAGGACGAGGACTCTACAAAAATACCTTGGAGAAGAGAAGAAAAGACCTGCTTTGGCCATCTGGTCTGACCTCCAGACATGACGCCAATAACACCCTTAGCTGTCACACTAGGAGTCTCTCGACAGTTAACTCCAACCTCCCAGCCAGTGAACAATGACCCTTCTACGTTGAGGTCGCTGATACGTTTAAGACCTCTAAGTTGCTTCTAAAACAAAACGAACAATTGATGCACACCCGCTATACTCTACTACTATGATACAATGGAATAAATGCTACTCACAGTCTCAGCTTTCGGAAACCGCAGAACTGCCCTATCCACGATTGCAGCTTCCTTCCTTGAAGACTGGATCTCATCCAACGACTTTACAGGAATCGGAGTGAAACCCAGATCTCCTCTGGTCACTGCATCGAAGAAACCCTGCAGGTCCTCCCGGTCGACAGCGCCCCGCCTACTGGACCTTCGCACCTCGCCATGTGGAGGCAGACGTGGTGCTCTGCCCGACTCCGCCCTGCTCTTTCTCTCTTTTGTCTCGTGCACTGTGAATGGATAGTCGTACCCAGACATAATAACGATCTGAAAATTGAAGATACTTCAAGGGAGGCGGAATGTTGAAGCCTAAAAAAGACATCTCAACTTTCTACTTGAACTAAATCTACGATTGAACTGATTTACTTATTTAAAACCGCATTTTTACAAAAATCAATTGACTTCTATCTATAACTCGTGAAATAATTTACACTCTTTGCGAATCACTAGTTTTATTCAGTCGGATTGGTGATTTTTCATTTCCCAACTTTTGCTGCACAACACTTGAAAAAGTTCGAAGTATCATAGCTTGAATAGCTTGCTTAGAAAAAATTGAACTTTTGGTAAAACGATTCGGTCTACGAAGCGCTTGGATTTTTTTCGAAGTTCATGGCTTGATTAGCTCGCGCAGAAAATTTTTTTTGCAAAACGTTTCCTAATAAATAACTTGTAAATATTTCATTTTTTTATAGCTACAATAGCTTGATTAAGTCAATTTCAAATTTTTTTCCGAACTGATTCGCTCCATTAGCTCGCTTAAGAAAACTAAATGTTCGCAAAATGCTTTGATCTAAACAACTCGAAATATTTCAATTGATTCTAGCTTCAATAACTTGCTTCAGTAAAACGTGAGTGTTTTTGCCAACCAGTTTGCTCCATGCAAATCTTGAAATATTGAAGTGTAATAGCTTGAACAACTTGCTTAGAAAAGCTTTTTGCACTCCGATTCGCTTCATGAAATTAACTTGAGTCATTTATCGTTTCGTAGCTTGAATAGCTTGCTCAGAGTAAGTTTGATTTTTTCCAGAACTGATTCGTTCTATGAAACGTAAAGTTTACAAACCGATTTACGATCTGGCTCAGCTAGAGATTTCGACATTTCATAGCTTTATCAGAACAGCAACTATTTTTTGCGAGCTGGTTGATTACTGGAGAAAGGCTTGCTAGTTTGTAATTGAAATTGGTGTTGCTTCATTATCGAACCTTAGCAGTTTCTAGGACCCATTGCACTTGGTCTGGAGGTTATGCAGTTGCTTTTGCCACCTATGGTCTGGGGTTCGCGTCCTGGTCGGACCTTTTTTTTTCAGTAGCTGAAATTGAATTTTTTCCGAGTGGAATTGATTAATCGGACTATAGTTTGTGGGCTTATGTTTTGTCGGATTAGTAGCCACATCACAATTAGTTGCCACACCACAGTGGTATAATTTCTGTTTTCTTTGGTATTTCTAAAAAATTGTTGATTTTAACATGAGATTAGTTTCCTCAGTTTTTTTGGTTTTTGGGCAATTGGCGTCTAACCTCCTGTTGTTGGCTTAGTGAATGCTCGGAAAATACTAAAAACTTGTTTAATGCTAGTGGTTGTAATAATCCTCTGTTTTGCTGAGGTTGAATGATTCGTATTTCCAAAAAAAATGTGATTTTTTCTGACAACAATTTTCTGTGTCTTTCTTTGTTTTCTGGTCAGTAGATGTCCATTCAAGTTTTGTTAGCTTACTGAACGCTTGGGAAATAAAAAAATTTTCTCAATGCTAGTGGTTGTGTTTCTCGTCTGTTTTGCTCTGAGATTGATTTTTTGTATTTCAAAAAAATGTTAAATTTTTCGGAAGCTTTTTATGACAACAATTTCCTGACATTTTTATGTTTCAGATTAATTGATGTCTAACCACGTGTTGTTGGCTTAGTGAAAGCTCGGAGAATACTAAAAGGTTGCATTATGGTAGCGGTTGTGTTTCTCGACTGTTTTTTCTGAGATTGAATTTTTCGTATATTCATAAAAATGTTGATTTTTTCAAGTTTTTTTTTCGACTTTTTTTATTTCCATCTTACTGATTATTTGGTGGCATGCGCAATGCTGCGCTTTCGTTGTATATCGCAAGTGTCTTTTCCAGCTGTCTGTTGGCTATTCTTTTCCAACTGTCTGTTGGCTATTTGCAAAATATATCCAACTTCTTAAGATTTTCTCATTGCGGTAATTTTGTTTAACCGGTGGTGAGAAACTTAGCTGTACGTTTTTGTGAGTTTTTGAAGGCGAGAATTGCATGGTTTTTTTTCAAGTTAAATTAATGAATCGTTATCAAGATGTTTTCATAATTTGTGTTGAAACTTTAAGAACGCAAATAATTTTTTATAATCAGTGATATATATATATATATATATATAATCACAGGGTATCTTTCGGTTTTTTCTATTCAAATTGAGAAATGTTCATTCTGCTTTTTCTCGAAAATTTGAGAACTTTGAAAGAGCTGAGTCATACCTTTAACGGAGAGTGAAAAATGCTGGATTTCGCGAAAAAATAATGTTTTTCAGATCAATGACTGGTTCTTGTTCTGTATTGATGGTGTGCTTAGGAAACATCTGTCGATCGCCAATTGCTGAAGCTTTGCTCCGTCACAAATGAAATGTAATTAAGAACTCATCATCAACGGCTGCTAAAGTCTCTGAATTGACTGTGGACAGCTGCGGTACTGCGGGATATCATATAGGGAACCCACCAGACAGTCGAGGTCTGCTAATTATGAAGAAGAACGGCATCGAGACATCTCATAGATGTCGCAAACTGAGGTACAATTTTTAGACACAATCCTTTATATTTCTTTGAAAGAAGGGAGTGTTCGCTTAATTAGTTCATTAATTCTTATTTTTTGAAACTAAATGTGAAGATGGCGCATAAATGTAGCTTGACCTTGAATTTCTAAAATTGAATTTAATTTGTATATTCAATTTGTAAGACCATTCAGTTACTAGATAAAAGCTTGACATATGAGCTGATCATCTCATCGCCATTACGGCGTCCCTGGTTAAGAAATATAGGCAAAGTTTTTTGGTTATTTTTCTGGGTTGGTAGTGTTAACTTTTCAGGCAACAAGCACGGATCATGGTTGGCGCCAAACATCCGGCTTTTTGATTGAGAGGTGGCGACATAACACTTCACTACTCCTTCCCTTTATGAAAAAAATGGCATTTTGATCAGGTTTTTACAAAAATCAATTGACTTTTATCTATAACTCGTGAAATAATTTACACTCTTTGCGAATCACTAGTTTTATTCAGTCGGATTGGTGATTTTTCATTTCCCAACTTTTGCTGCACAACACTTGAAAAAGTTCGAAGTATCATAGCTTGAATAGCTTGCTTAGAAAAAATTGAACTTTTGGTAAAACGATTCGGTCTACGAAGCGCTTGGATTTTTTCGAAGTTCATGGCTTGATTAGCTCGCGCAGAAATTTTTTTTTGCAAAACGTTTCCTAATAAATAACTTGTAAATATTTCATTTTTTTATAGCTACAATAGCTTGATTAAGTCAATTTCAAATTTTTTTCCGAACTGATTCGCATTTTGCTTCAGTAAAACGTGAGTGTTTTTGCCAACCAGTTTGCTCCATGCAAATCTTGAAATATTGAAGTGTAATAGCTTGAACAACTTGCTTAGAAAAGCTTTTTGCACTCCGATTCGCTTCATGAAATTAACTTGAGTCATTTATCGTTTCGTAGCTTGAATAGCTTGCTCAGAGTAAGTTTGATTTTTTCCAGAACTGATTCGTTCTATGAAACGTAAAGTTTACAAACCGATTTACGATCTGGCTCAGCTAGAGATTTCGACATTTCATAGCTTTATCAGAACAGCAACTATTTTTTGCGAGCTGGTTGATTACTGGAGAAAGGCTTGCTAGTTTGTAATTGAAATTGGTGTTGCTTCATTATCGAACCTTAGCAGTTTCTAGGACCCATTGCACTTGGTCTGGAGATTATGCAGTTGCTTTTGCCACCTATGGTCTGGGGTTCGCGTCCTGGTCGGACCTTTTTTTTTCAGTAGCTGAAATTGAATTTTTTCCGAGTGGAATTGATTAATCGGACTATAGTTTGTGGGCTTATGTTTTGTCGGATTAGTAGCCACATCACAATTAGTTGCCACACCACAGTGGTATAATTTCTGTTTTCTTTGGTATTTCTAAAAAATTGTTGATTTTAACATGAGATTAGTTTCCTCAGTTTTTTTGGTTTTTGGGCAATTGGCGTCTAACCTCCTGTTGTTGGCTTAGTGAATGCTCGGAAAATACTAAAAACTTGTTTAATGCTAGTGGTTGTAATAATCCTCTGTTTTGCTGAGGTTAAATGATTCGTATTTCCAAAAAAAATGTGATTTTTTCTGACAACAATTTTCTGTGTCTTTCTTTGTTTTCTGGTCAGTAGATGTCCATTCAAGTTTTGTTGGCTTACTGAACGCTTGGGAAATAAAAAAATTTCTCAATGCTAGTGGTTGTGTTTCTCGTCTCTTTTGCTCTGAGATTGATTTTTTGTATTTCAAAAAAAAAATGTTAAATTTTTCGGAAGCTTTTTATGACAACAATTTCCTGACATTTTTATGTTTCAGATTAATTGATGTCTAACCACGTGTTGTTGGCTTAGTGAAAGCTCGGAGATTACTAAAAGGTTGCATTATGGTAGCGGTTGTATTTCTGGACTGTTTTTTTTCTGAGATTGAATTTTTCGTATATTCATAAAAATGTTGATTTTTTCAAGTTTTTTTTTTTCGACTTTTTTTATTTCCATCTTACTGATTATTTGGTGGCATGCGCAATGCTGCGCTTTCGTTGTATATCGCAAGTGTCTTTTCCAGCTGTCTGTTGGCTATTCTTTTCCAACTGTCTGTTGGCTATTTGCAAAATATATCCAACTTCTTAAGATTTTCTCATTGCGGTAAGTTTGTTTAGCCGGTGGTGAGAAACTTAGCTGTACGTTTTTGTGAGTTTTTGAAGGCGAGAATTGCATGGTTTTTTTTCAGTTTAAATTAATGAATCGTTATCAAGATGTTTTCATAATTTGTGTTGAAACTTTCGAATATGCTTGAAATTTTTTTTTCTGCTACTCTGATGATTGTTTGGGTCACATCAATTAAGAACGCAAATAATTTTTTATAATCAGTGATATATATATATATATATATATATATATATATATATATATATAATCACAGGGTATCTTTCGGTTTTTTTCTATTCAAATTGAGAAATGTTCATTCTGCTTTTTCTCGAAAATTTGAGAACTTTGAAAGAGCTGAGTCATACCTTTAACGGAGAGTGAAAAATGCTGGATTTCGCGAAAAAATAATGTTTTTCAGATCAATGACTGGTTCTTGTTCTGTATTGATGGTGTGCTTAGGAAACATCTGTCGATCGCCAATTGCTGAAGCTTTGCTCCGTCACAAATGGAATGTAATTAAGAACTCATCATCAACGGCTGCTAAAGTCTCTGAATTGACTGTGGACAGCTGCGGTACTGCGGGATATCATATAGGGAACCCACCAGACATTCGAGGTCTGCTAATTATGAAGAAGAACGGCATCGAGACATCTCATAGATGTCGCAAACTGAGGTACAATTTTTAGACACAATCCTTTATATTTCTTTGAAAGAAGGGAGTGTTCGCTTAATTAGTTCATTAATTCTTATTTTTTGTAACTAAATGTGAAGATGGCGCATAAATGTAGCTTGACCTTGAATTTCTGAAATTGAATTTAATTTGTATATTCAATTTGTAAGACCATTCAGTTACTAGATAAAAGCCTGACATATGAGCTGATCATCTCATCGCCATTACGGCGTCCCTGGTTAAGAAATATAGGCAAAGTTTTTTGGTTATTTTTCTGGGTTGGTAGTGTTACCTTTTCAGGCAACAAGCACGGATCATGGTTGGCGCCAAACATCCGGCTTTTTGATTGAGAGGTGGCGACATAACACTTCACTACTCCTTCCCTTTATGAAAAAAATGGCATTTTGATCAGGTTTTCTACCAGGAGCAAGTCCATTTTTGAAGTTTCGAAATTTGTATAGATTTACAGAGATGCAATCTATTCTGAGAAAAAGTTGACTGCTTTTTTCCCGTTAATAGAAATTTATTTAACCTGCTCCTTGTGTTGACTAGTTTTTGTAAAATTGCAGTTTTTGTAAATGTTTTTGAATGTAAAATTTCTAGCATAATGTACATTGAATGTAAAAGGGCCGTTTTTAGAATCCAGTTTCATTTTAGGTCTTCAGATGCCGATGACTTCGATTACATTTTCTGCATGGACTATTCGAATGTGCAAAATGTCAAGAGGGTTCTGCCTCAGTCTGCACACAGTAAAGTTCTTCTGTTGGGAAGCTTCGATCCTCAGGGCGTAGAAGAGATTGAAGACCCTTATTATGGGTCGGAAGATGGTTTTGATGTCTGTTTCGAACATTGTGGACGATGCTTGGATGAATTCATCAAACAGAAATTGTTAGCTCTGACTAGCTGATGCTGCATGTACCGTAGTAAACAAAATTGAATGTTACTACGAAACTGCTAAAATTAGAAATAACAGTTTATTTTTGGATTGACTTACTATGTCGGTGCAATGACAATATGGTTAAACTTGGTTCCGAGTGGAGAAATTTCGGGGCTCAAACTTCGAAGTGTTGTTGTTGTAGTGGGATATGTTTCGTCTGAGCGACATCTTTAGAAAGCGTTGTTTAATTTTTGTCATCATTATCACTTATATATACTTGATAATTGTCATACTTCAGTTTTTGTAGATTGTCATACTTCAGTTTTTGTAGACTGTCGTACTTCAGTTTTGTAGATGATCAATTGATTTAAGTTCTGATCCATTTGAAATGACCTCTCTATCTGTTCTATATGTGTGTCATGGAACTAAGTGTCATTCCACTATGGCTCAGCAGTACCTTTTGCAGATGGTGCTCAAAGCTCTTGAAGGCTCTTCCTTGAAGAAGTTGACTAATATCGATAGTTGTGGGACTGAAGACGATGACTTTGGAAGCTAGCCGGACCCTGGAACTGACTGAGACTGTCCCGAAAAAGCACGAGTTGCATTTTGTCGCATGTAGCACGATTGTTTGTGTAAGCCTCAGCTGTTCATTAAAAAGTTTTAATTTGCTGGTGTGAAATAGAGTATATTATCACAGAACCAATCAAAATTAATATTATATATTTATTATGAAACGTTTAATCCAATAAATATAGTACATTTTTGAAATGCATAATTTATACAACTGTGAAATTATTAACCTGATATGCGTTAGGTTAATTGTAAACAATTTCAAAGCAATTTGTAAGTTAACTTTACTACGCTTGCAAAAGCAAGTGTCTTGTAATCGGGAACAAGACTTTTTCCCGTAAACAACTCTTCTCACATCTGAAGTTGAAACTGAAGTTACTTTAGTAGTAAATCGTAGCAACTTCGAGAATGCTTCTCACTTGACCTAGAGGTTTGAGGTTTGCGGTTTTTTTTGTGTTGTTTTTGCACATTAGGTCTGAGGTTTGAGTCCCGGCTGGACTTTTTGGTTCAGTATGTATGAAATGATTTTTAAAATTTCCGAGAAAAATTGAGTTTTCGGATGTTTTGGCGGCTTAGTTGCCACTTTGTGTTGACACTTTGTGGAGTTTTTTGTGCGATCAAAAATTATCGCCGTAGATGCAAGTGTTTTTGATGTATTCTGTAATTCATAAAAAAATATATTAGCCCTGACTTTGTTTATTTTCTTTTTTTTTTGTTTTTGTGTCGTTTAAATGCTTCATTCGGCCTAAATGTTTTCGGCTTATATTTTTTCGACTTACTAGCTGTGATTTTTGTCGCTTCAAGGGCTAAAAATGATTGATTAGAATTATCAGGTCGTTTGTCATGCAAAAGTTCATAATTTAAAAACTTAATTGCTAAAAAAAAATTTATGTAAACAATTTCTTATGGCATTTTTTGTTTTCGGCTCAATGAACGGCTTAAAGCGGCTGCTTTTGTCTCAATAATATTTTTGTCGTTGAAAAGTTGATTGTGGGCTGCTCTTTGAAAATTTAAAGACTTATAGAATGCTGTTTGTTGTGTTTCTTGACTATTTTTCTGAATTTTTTTCATTTCTTATAAAATATATATTTTTTCGGTTTTGTTATTTCGGTCTCATTTTCTATTTGCTAGCTTGCGTTGTATCGCAAGTGATGCGAAGCTCGGCTTTGCTTCTGTGTCCAAATCAGTTACTTTCGGGTTGTTGAATTCGCTTATCGTCCAATTTCCACCAAAATTCGCTTGTCTTTTCTAACCCCCAAAAATTCGTCAGGAGCTGAAACTTATTCCTAATAGCTTTTGATTTTATTTTTTTTTCACGTATTTGGCTACTAATAAAGTTCTGTTGAAATAAATTTGGCTTATATATGAAGTAAACTTCAAGAAATCTGACGTAACAAAAAAATTGGTTGTCGGTAGTTCAATGGAATATATACATGATTTTAATACTAAGTATGTTTTAGACCTGAAACCGACAGCCAGTTTGATCACATTCTGTGTATGGACAGTTATTTATGATGGCAGTGAAAAGCTATCTGAAGACTATCAAGACTTCAGCCAATATTGAACTCCTTGGAAAGTTCGACACAAAAGGCGTAGAAGATGTGTTCAACGCTTGGATGTGCCCTGTTAGTGAATTTAGGAAGGTTTGTCAACACATCGAGTTCAATAGATGAATTTTTCAAAACTTTAATGCCCTTAATTTGTCTGCTTCTATCGAAAATTCAGCCTTTCAGTTGAAATCTTAAGTTACGAATTATTTATTTGTGAACTTGAACTGAATTTTGTATGGAAATTCTATTCCATAGTGGTGTTATTTCGTCGTGAGGCGACAATTCGGCTGCGAGCGACAATTGGTAGCATTTCAAGAAGCGGCATTTAATGGCTGAGCAATTTGGCATTATAATTATGTAAATAATTCGGAATAATTTGAGTCAGCAATGTACAGCAACCAATCTGCCATGACTTAGCGGGTGTAGAAAATAGATGTGCACATGGCCGTCAGTGCGAATCTTCGGTGGTATGTACTTTTTTCAGTTGACTCTGACAACTACCGAATTTCCTTTTTTCTCAATCAAGTTTTTGAATTTAGTATACAGAGATGCAGAAAAGACTATAGAGCTCCGTTCGAATAGGTTCGGAGGAAAAGGAGAACGAGCCAGAGCTTGTTCCGTCAACTGTGGACGATTTGAATGAGTTGAACGTGAATCAATTACTAGGCCATCTTCATTCCACAAAGAATAAAGAGGCGAGTAAGATTCAATACTCCATTGAAGGGAATGTATATGTAAACAAAATCGCATATGCCAGAACAGTAAGAAGTCAACTGATTCGCCTCTAACGACTAGTCGTTTTATAGACAATGAGCCATCAACAGACAACAAAATCCTCAAGATGAACTAGTCTGTTTTTGAGTGTAGGGAGCAACTATTTGTTTTACTTGGTATCGAGTTTCAATTTGGTATTGGAATTGCTAATTTTCAAGCCAAAAATCATCAACCCAACATAATCTAGATTGTCGCTCGTTTCACTCCACACACCATCTGTTTGCATGTCCTGGAAGCTTGTTGAGTGTTTGCCCAATTTTGGTTCCGTTCATTCTGTGATGCTCTGGGATTTTCGATTCCTGGTTTCAGATTATTTTGCTTGTTGTAAATCCTTTTCGCTCGTTTTGTCACATCATTTTGGATTTCAACCTAAATTTTTGTCGAAAATTTTTTCATCGTTGTAAATAAGGCCGAACTTGTGACTGGTTTGCCTTATTTTGGAATATCTTTCAATTTATTTATTGTTCATAAATTTCCAGTGCTAATGGAGGTAACGAAGCGATAATGACTATGAAACTTGTTGTTTTAATCGGTGATAAGATTTTGCCCACCTCAATTTTTCGACAGCATTTTCGAAATTTTGCTTTTTTAGCTACCGAATTTCAACTCTTGTCTTATAATAAATATATTTTTCACCCGTCTAATTTCGATTTAAGTACCTCCGTCTTCTTTGATTGTCGTCTTATTTCCTAGGCCCCATTGCGTCGTTTGTATTGGTTATGCTTGAGAAAACGTTTTTGTTGTTTTAATGTTTTTAAGATATTAGAGTAGTCGGACTTATTGCTTCATATGCAAATTATGCAACAGATATAACATTAAAACGAATATACTGAATTAATTTTGTAATGCAGCAATAAACTGAATATTTTAAAGCTCCTTTTCTTCGTCGAAATTTTTACGCTTGCAATTAACAAGCGTTATCAAATCGGAATGAACCTTTTTTAGGTTAACAGTCAGTTAACGAAATCAGTTGAATCAATTGCTGATATGATGCTGACACCCTCAGTTTCATGAAAATTCATTTTTAGCTCATAAGTGCAATGTTTGTTAGTGGGAACTTTTTCTGAATTAAACTGATTTTTTTTTGTCGGCTTCATTGATTTCGTTCCAATTTTTGTCGGCTTACTTGCCGCATGTATTAAATTTTAAATAAATTTTCTATTCAATTGCTTTGATAAATTCAAAGTTAGCTTACCATCCAGCGCATCTGGTGTAGTGATGACTCATAAGCTTGTGACGATAAAGCCCTGGGTTTTTAATCCGTGCCGGACCTATTTTTTAAACTAGAAATTCAGTTTTCGGACTATTGTCCGTCTGTTTTATTTCGTCTGCTTAGATTCCTTTTCACGAACTCTTTCTCTCTCTCTCTCTCTCTCTCTCTCTCTCTCTTTCTCTCTCTCTTTCTTTCTTTTTGTAGATTCATTTTTCTTTTATCTTTCTGAATATCACTAGTGGAAATACTTGTCGCAAAACTTGCCATGAGTGCGGACAGGACATTTTATTGCATTTTTTAATGAAAGTTTTTTGAAAAAATTTGCTACGTCGTTCTACGTCGTTCAACATACGCCGTTATTACCCCTTTTTTTAAGTTCAATAAAATTAAGCTCAAAATCAACTCCACAAGAACTCTGTAAAGACGTAAATAAATTAATCTTGAGAAAGTTTCTCTTTTTTCATTCTATATTATTATAGTTTTTCTAATTCTTTCAATTTCTTCATTGGAAGTTATTTTTGCTACTTTTTTAGGGTCATGCTGTTTTAAACCTGTCGTATCGCAAGTAGTGAGAAGCTCAGGCTCGCCTCTGTGTTTCAAATTTATATGGTGTATTGTTGCATACCACATTTAAATTATTTATCACGGAATTTAGTTCACCGATTGGACAATGTGCTGAAACTTTGGTTAATTGAAAGTATCATTGTCTGTAGTTAATATAATTGTCTGTATTCAGTTGGCTGTGATTCTAGTTGCGTGTTAGACGATTATATCCTATGTTTTTAAGTATTTGTAAAGAATATTTTTTGTCATTTGATATGGATTTTTATTTCGGTTTTGAAAATCGGAATGGTGTGGTAAATTGATGAGTTAGCTTCTCGTTTTCAGAATTTGTTTTTTATACGATTCCACCGAAAGAGTTTTCGGCGCAATTTTTTTTGCATAATGATTTTTCTCGCTTCGTCGAAGGTGCTGCGGAACTTTGTTACTTCTAAACCCTTGAAAATTTGACTTGCCTTTTCCTAGTTCAGTGTTGCGGAAATGATGATGTTATTTCTCCAAGTCATGTTTTCAGATTTGTTCTTGAAAACAGTTTTCAACTGAAGCAGCATGGCAAATATATCAGTTCTGATGGTGTGTCATGGAAATATCTGCAGGTCAACTATGGCACAGCAACTGTTGACTCAAATGGTCTTAAGTGCCCCTGAGGGGTCTGCTGTTAAAAGAATAACTAAAGTGGACAGCTGTGGAACTAGTCGCGAGGAAATAGGGAACTCGCCCGATCCTGGAACTCAGAAGGCACTGAAGAATCACGGCTATCCGCCTCTGGAGCATACTGCGAGACAATTTGAGTTGGTAGCACTTTTTCTTATAATTTAATCGCTTGCTAGATGCATTTATAGCTTAGTAAACTATTATTTAGGAAATAGCTCAGGAAATAGCAACAAATTTTCTCGCTTATACAAATGCTCGAAATCATGTCGATTGAAATTATTGTTCAGCCGAAGAATCGTGATGTCATCAATCTAAAGCTTTTGTGTGGTTTCAGTACCAAAAGTGACAGTCAATTTGACTACATATTTGTGATGGACAACGCAAACATGAGAAATGTGCAGCGATTTCTTGCGGGTACGGGATCAAAAGCCAAAGTAGAGATGCTCGGCAGTTACGATCCCCAAGGTCAAAAGGTCATCAGTGATCCTTGGGCGGGAAGTGAAAAAGTGTTTGAAAACACTTATCAACATATTCACAGAAGTCTGGAGAATTTCCTAAAAACTGAATTTTTAAATTGATTGATTTTTTTAAATGATTATATATGATTTAAATGTACCCATTTTTTATATTAAAAAGTGCTGAGAGTATTAAGAATGGGAAATTTTTTGTGTGAATAGCTCACTATGGTTTTTAAGCTTGAGCAGGTTGTTTCAGATGGAATGTCGAATTGCTCTGTTCTTTTCGTGTGCACTGGCAATACATGCAGGTCCACAATGGCCCATCAAATTTTATCTCAATTTATTCAAAAGGCACCTGATGGATCAAAATTGAAGAGAGTTAGTAAAATAGACAGTTGTGGCATAAGAGCGATGATTGGTACTGCACCTAGTAGTGGTACTCAGGGTGTTCTTCAAAGAAATGGTTACCCTCTTCTGGAGCATAGCGCGAGGCAATTTGAGTGAGCTTAGCCTTTATTGGATGGCAAATTTCTTTCAAGTTATTTGTGTCTTGAAAAATGATTAAATTAAGTGAATTGAAAAGGCTCGGCACAAGAGCACTTCAAAATTTCGCTTATGTAGTTTCCTTCCATTGTTGAAGGAACTGCTTTTGATAAACTTATGATAGTGCTGGTAAAAAAATATGCGATTCTTTTGCAGAGGGTAATGTTATTTTCGATGAAAAAGATGAAGGTTTGAAACAAAAAAACTATTTTCTATACAGTTTTCTGCAACTTAGACAAACTGAAATATGTGCCAAAGAATTCTAGGATCAAGATTTTAAACTTGTATTTTACAGCAGGTGTTAACCATTTAAAAATAGTAAGGTTCTATAGCGGGAAGTCTTAAAATAGTAATAAGGTCTGTGAAAATTCCAATGATATCCTCACCCCTATGCCCATGGTATCCTCGTCATTAACATGTCGCCATCAAATTTTTAAATGATAAATCAAGGCATGATTGCAATGCTTGTTCAATTAAGGTCATGAAAGGCTCGTTACTTTGATAGCCCGGAGACTGACTGCTGCTTCGATTACATTTTGACCATGACGGAATCTCATTTGGAGCAGGTCAAAAATTCCCTAAAAGGTTTCGAAACCAATTGCAAATGTGACCTCCTTGGAAGTTATGATTCCGAGGGTTTTGAAAACATTCCAGATCCATTTGGTGGCAGTGACGACGAATTCGATGAATGCTTTATCCTTATACGAAGATGCGTAGAGGGATTTATTGAACATGCAATTGGAAACTGAATAATCTTTATCGCAGTATTTCCTAGTGTGGAATTGGTCTTTGTTCATTTAAGTGTTCTAACGTAATATATTATATATTTAAATAAGGGCTTCACTTTCTCGCCATGTTTAAGCTTTTTCAACGTATTATTTTTGCATGTTTAACGAAAGAACTAAACTAAAAAGTAGGTCACAAAATTTGAAATTTCCAACCCTTAGTTAGGTGCTGTCAGTGTACTCTCAAGTATTGCGATTCTTGTCTCCAATTATGACTGCTCAAATCTTTGTAGTTTTCGAGATCTGACGTGTTTTATGATTTCTTTTTTATTTTTCTATATTTTAAAAAATCGAAAGAACAAGTTCTCGACTTTGTTTTGGGGTTCTGTGAGGGTACTCTCATGAGTTTAAAGTTACAAATTTTGCGTCCAAATGGGACTATTCAAACGCTTTTAGTTTCCGAGCCGAGACATTTTTTGTGATTTTTTCAAGTTTTTTGTTGGGGTTGTCAAATTAATCTGAGGAGTTGCGAATCTTGCTCCAAATTTGACTGCTCAAATCTTTGTAGTTTTCAGACATGACGTTTTCATAACATTTGAATTTTTGAATTTGAAGTATTTTTCTGAATTTGAAATTTCTAACCATATAGTTGGGGGCTGTCATAGTACTTTCAGGGGTTGCCAATCCTAACTCTAAGTAAAATACTCAAATCTGTGTAGTTTTCGAGATATGATTTTTTTAATGGTTTTTGTTCAAAAACAATTTTTTTGGAAACTTTGAATTTGAAGTTTTTTAAAATTTGAAATGTCCAACGCTGTAGTTGGGTGCTGTGAGATTGCTATGTCATTTTAAAATTTTCAAAGAATTCAATGGTTTTTTTAAAAATTGAATTAAAAGTCATATAAAAAACTTTGCTAAAGTTGAAATTACGAACCCTGTTAATGGGTGTTGTCAGAGTACTTTCAAAGGATGCAGATCTTTTTTCAATTGTATGCGTTCTTTATGAGTTGTCAAAAGTTAGAAGCACCGGAGTCTATAAGTTTAATTGCAGGGAAGTTACTTGAAGAAGGTACTGACCAGTGTATTGACTTATAATGAAAAAGTCGTATGACTTAAAATCGTATAATGCGACTATCGTATAACGTATAATCATATATTTTGGTTTTCGTATGAAAAAGAACGTAAATCGTATAACTTGGGATCAAAATCCTTACTCAATTATAGCAACCGCTCAAAGCTTTCTTACGTTTTTTCGATGCTCGATTATATTTTTGCCCAAAAATCTCTGATTGCTTTCAGAAAACTTTTTATGTTGGAGTTGGGCCGCCCGTTATATCGATCATCTTGCGGTAATCAATGGAAAAAAATCTTTGTCTGACAAAAAAATAGCCAATTATCGGTTTTGTATAATCGTATAATTTATCGTATAATCTTATATCTTATAAGGTTTGTTTCGTTTGATTTATATTATAACGTTTACAAAACACTGATACTGACCCGCAAGTTTCAAAATAAAAGAAGAAGAGGTTAATGAATGTTCATAAATCTCAAGCTGTTTATGGTAAGATATAATTTTAGAAAATATCGAACTTCGAAAGGATAAGAGACGAGACCAGCGAATCTGCAATTTGTTTAAGCTATGGATTAAGGTTTCGTTTGAAGTAACAATTTCAAAATGTTTCGGCTTCTTGTGTTTTTGAAATCTGATTCACTAACTCATTATTGTTCAAAGTTTCTGAAGATCAAAATTTTCTGAGCAAAAACTTAATCATTCGTTGTGATTTCATGATGTTGTTAGCTTTATTTATTTATGCTTCTCAGATTAATTTTGTTTGTTCCCTTTCGAGAGCAAGTGACTTGTAATCGGGTAAGAGACTTTTTTCTTAATTGACTGCTTAATTTATTCGGCTTGGTTTTCAAAGCATGGAATGTTCTTTTGATTTAACTATAATGGACAATCGTTTTGGTTTTGTAGTTTTGCTAACTCGGATTTTGAAAGTCGGAGATGGTATATTTTATTTTTTTTTCAATAAATTTTTTTTCTTGATCCAATGTTTTCAGCTCATGTTTTATTGGCTGAGTCACCTTATTTTGCCTAGTTTGATGGAGAGAATTGGCGAATGGGGCTTAAATGTTGCAATTTTAAAAATTATTCGCTCAAAAAAATATGACAATTTCTTATGTTATTTCTTTGTTTTCGACACAAAGGGCGTCTTTCTATCTTTTTTGTCCTAATGATTTTCCCTCATGTTTGCTTACTAGCTTGCAATGCTATGCTTACGTTGTATCGCAAGTGTTGAGAAGCTCCGCTTCGCCTCTGTGTCAAAATGTTGCGAACCTTCTTATTTAATATTTTCAGATTCTGTTGATGTCAGTTTTGAAGATGTGTTAAGAAGCAGAATATGTAAAGCCGGTGCACAAAAAGCATCTCCTCGATGAGCTACATCGTCAATGTCGGAATCAGTTCGCTCTGTGGTCCAGACGCAAATTTTTACTCCAGAAAGTGAGTATTTTTGTCAATATTTACTTTAAATAATCTTTATTTTTTTTAACTGAGTTTATTCTTTATTATATACAGTTGAATTTATCGGGGGAACGTAAACTATTACGAGAGTACTGGGATTTTGTGCCACGCAAATTCAGGGTTATCAGAAGAAAACTTTAAATAGCTTGATGAATATCATAACGAAGCGTTAGAATAGAAATTAAAATTTTAAAATGTGTCCGGGACTGGTTTTTTTTAAAAACTTTTCTCTCCCGTCTTATCTTCCGAGTTCAATTATGATTTTTATGCTTGCGATTGATTTTGATAGGTCGGCATATAATAAAATCAAATTCAGCTTTACCGTCTCATTTGGTCTTAAGGTAACGAATTCGCCTAGGAAAGCAAAGGTTTTTTTTTCAAATGACAAAAACTCCTTTTAATGAAAACGTCGAACTATCATTTACCTTTGTCGTTTACCTTTATCTGTTTATCGTCTAACCTTGTCTGCTTTGTTAACACTCACTAAATGTTTCTGAAAATTTATTAAACGCCAGCGTTGTGTTTCTGGACGTGTTTTCCTGAAATTGAATATCATTCCAGACAAAATTTTGCAGTTTTTTCGAAAAAATTCTTCTTCCGTTTTTCTATCTGCTAGCTGTCTGAAATGATATGTTCTCGTGGTATGGCTCTCCCAAATCACTACAAAGCCCCTATTTTGACCAAATTTTTTGGCATTTTTGGGGGTTTTTGGCATTTTTGAGCATAAAATCGCGTTTTTTGGGCTCTCGCTGCTCCCTGAAAATTAGTATATTTTGACGCCTAAGGCGCCTTAAGAAAAATTTTAGGGTCAGTCAGTCAAAATGGATATCTCGATATAGTACAAAGGGGTCGGCAGGGGGTCGATTCCCTGAGGGAGAGGGCGTCCGCCCAATCCCCCCCCCCCCCCTCACCCCCCTAAATCCGCTACTGGTATTACGAATCTTTTTTTTCCAACCTAACTTGCTAATAAAACTGCCATTTAAATGACCTTTTGCTGCATAGCATTGGCAATTTTATAGCATATGTTTAAGCTGCTTCATTGAATATGTCTAACCGGCTTGTGTAAACCATTGAAGCAGGTTTTTGCTAACTCATATTTAATTGCGTAGTAATTAAGAGGATTTTTTAAAATATAATTTCTAAAAACGAAGGACAGAAATAAAATCTTTTTTCAATGATCATTAAATTCTACAAAACATATTTTGAGAGTAGTGAATTAGTTTAGTGATTTTTTTTTGAAAAAGTTTTCTGTAAACCCTTTAAAATCCAACTATAAGATGGATGAATTGTCAATATGTTGTGAAAAATGAATAAAATTGAAAAAAGCTATGCGATGAATGTTTTTTGCACAGTATAAGAAAAATGAATAAAAAATGAGCTAACATTCCTCAAATCTTTTGCCTAAAGTTTTGAGGCTGGAACACGACTGTCAAGCTGATGTTGTTTCTTAACCATTTTTTTTCTGTAAAATAGTTTTTTTAAGTCAAATTGTGATTACTCTAAAATTGTCTAAATTTAAACAGTTTGAAAGCTTCTGAGGTTCATGCATATCAACCGACAAGCCCCATGAGCGTTACCTATGGTTAACATGCGGCATGTGAAATCTGTAGCTGGAACGATTGATTCCGTGTGATAACTGATGTTTGTGTTCCAGTTGCTCTCAAAGTATCTTCGATTTGGCAGTTCAAGGTTTTTGAAGTGCAAACTAACGAAGTGAGGACATTTATTTAGGCCGTGTGGTTTTTCTCAGAAAGCCTTAGTTTGATCACGCTTAATTTGGTTTTTTTTAAGTTTGATTTTTGCTTTCTTGGGTTTCAATTCAAAATGCTTTCTAAAAAGAAGACAAATTACGCTCTCAATTGCGAAAGTTAAAATGGCATAAAAAACGAATGACTTCTAGCTTCGAAAGTGGATTTGTCTTAAGATTTTATCAGTTATTCAAATTATTTTTCAGGTAATGTCTTCAACTTAATTTTTCAGAAACTTTTTTCGGGTAATTTTGCAATTTCGTTTTTCAGAATTTCTTTGTTGTAAAGCTCCCCTTCGCCTTTGTGTATTGAAGCTCTTTCAGTCTTGATTCAAAATACATTAGAAAGTTTCCGTCAACTTTTTTCAGTGTCGAAAACAATGGTTTGAGATTTTTCGTCTAGTTTCGAGCGAGTAAAGCGAGCGAGCAGGCTTATTATAAATAAAGAAGGGTAGTCGCAGATTAAGAGTTTAAAAAGCTTTGAATTTTTATGCGATCCCTAAAAAATCTACTTAAATAAGGTTTCAAATTTTTCTCAGCACCATCTTGGGTAAAATTAATCGAAAGTTATTTTAAAAGTTCTGCGAAAAAAAATGACAAATTTTTATTTTTTTTTCTTGTCATTTTTCGGAGAAAACTGTTTTCCAAATGCTTATTTTACTATGTTTATTGGAAATGACCAAAACATAATCTTTAATGCAGCTCCTCTCATCACACCACACACAAAAAAAATTTAAACAAAAACTTTTTATGCAGTTTCATATGGTCGGAACATTCTGGGCTACTTGCATAGCAATCGGTTGTCCTTGTTTCTAATGTGTTTTTAATGACTTTCTTCTTCAGGCTAATTATCAACTTCTCTTTATACAATGATCAAGTTTTCGTAGCTGTATTTCTTTCAAATTCTCAAGTTTAGTTTTTCTAGTAATTTCTTCAACTTAAATTTTCAGAAATTTATCAGGTACTTTGCGCAATTTCGTTTTTCAGAATTTGTTTGTTGTAAGTTCCGCTTCGCCTTTGTGTATTAATTTTTCTTCAGTTTTGATTCAAAAGACATAAGGAAGTTTCCATTAACTTTTTTCAGTGTCGAAAACAATGGTTTGGAGTTTAAGATTTTTCGTTTAGATTCGAGCGAGTAAAGCGAGCGAACAGGCTAATTATAGATAAAGAATAGGAGTAAAAAAGCTTTGAAGTTTTATGCGAACGCTGAAAACTCGATTAAAATAACTTTTCAATGTTTTCTCAGCGCCATCTTCGGAAAAAATAATCGAAAGTTGTTTTAAAAAAATTCTGCGCAAACAGTTGACAAAATGTTTGATTTTTTGTTTTGTTTCATCATTTTTCGGAAAAAAAAACTGTTTTCCAAATGCCTACTTTACTATGTTTATCGGATAATGACTAAAACATAGTCTTTCGTGTCATTCCTTATTCCTCTGCGAAATGCAGTTAACTTGAGCTAAAATTCGGATTGAAATGTTATCGGTGTATGGGAAAAGGAGCTCAATTTTTCTCTTGCATCTATCAAATTTTTCTTTTTTTTTGTTTTACGGTGCCTTCGTTTTATGTTGTCCAGCTTTGCTTGGGTTGGACTCGTCTGTGTCCAACTTAAGAATCCATGCAACGTTAACCGACTGTAGCCATAAGTCTGGGGGCTAGGGTAAGGATTTTTGGTGTAACTAAAAAGGTGGCTAATTTTGTGCCGCGCGAGAAAACAATTTATGTGAACAGGAGAAAGCTGTTTAAAAGGGATATATATATATGTATTTAAAATTGGACTGTAACCAGACCTGAGTTGAGAGAGCTTTCAAGGAGTGCTTCTTGAGAAGGATTAAGTTGCAGTTTTCCTGCATATGAATGGCAGTTTACTAGGATTTGTTTTCCTCATGAGTGGCTGGCGTAGCTGATTGATAGGGAAGTCGATTTGGATGCTAGAGCTTAGCAGTTTGATTCCCGTAGATTCCAATTGTTTTTGAAAACTCTTTTTTTTACCTTTTCAAAGCTACTTCTTGGCGTTTTTGCTTCGACTCTGTGTAAAATTTATAAACGAACTTAATTAGAGAATTCATCTCAGATTTAAAAGGGCTTTTTGATTAAAAGAGCAGTTGGATAAAAAAACGTTTGTCTTTTAAAACGGCATAACATTTAAGGACGTACTTGACAAGGCAGCAAAGGGTCTGTCGGAAAAGTTATTCGGATGAAGTGAACGGTATGTGAAATAAGAAAAAATGACTGATAAAAAGAGTGGTGGTTTTTAACATAAGACTCGTTACTTCATTGTGCTGGTGGGCAGTTTGTGAAACTGGCAATCATTAAAATTTCTTGACGTTGAAAGAAGTTGAAGGTGATATAACAGCTATAAATCTCGAAACTTGAAATAGAATTAAATAGACTTTCTTCTTCCTTGTTCATTAACACCTATTCAAGTCTGTTAGCTGTTTGGTTGCAGTTATATGTTGCTTTTTACTGTTTTCTGCAGCTAAACCTTGCCTCCATCTAAGAAAACAGCTAAATTTTTTAAAGAAATTGGTCTGAAAATGCTTTCATTGGGCTAAATCAGCTTTCTAGCATATCGACAAAGTTTTTGAGGTTGTCTCTGAGACTGAGTTGATGATTGCTTTTTTGAACTCGGTTAGTTTTTGTGGTTAATTGAAAGACCAAATTGAACATTTTTGGTAAATATTTCTTGGCTTTTCATCTGAATACTTTTTATCCACGACAAGCAACATCATAGATCGCAAGTTTATAATCTCGCTTGATGTTTGGCTTGAAAATGCAATATGTCGTTCAGTTATTTCGTAGTTTTTGTGTTATGGCATTCATCATTCATGTGAACTTGTATGTTGCTTTTACTGTCAAAAAGACTGCAGCTTTTTTATCTTTAATTTTCTCTGCCAGTCTTATGTAGTTCCTGATGCGAATAGCTGGTCCGTATAAAAGATCTCAAGTAGCATTTTGAACACAGGAAAACTGTAATGAGAAGGTACGTTCGAACTCTCTCTATTCTAAAGCGAACTACACCACAGAACTATCTTGGCAGAATTTGAAGGCTTTGCTTCCTCCCTTATCAGTTTATTGCAGATGTTTTCAGCTTCTAAGCATTAGAGCTTTCTTTTTCTCTATACAATTAAATTGAAAATATGCCATTGAAATTTTAGCTCTTATGATATTTAAGAAAGCTGCTAATAAATATCTCAAGGGGGCACATGGATGCGCCAAAAACCGCGAAGGCTAGTTCTCGCCGAAAAGGGCAATTTTTTGGTCGAAAACTTTCAAGAAGTTCCCAAAAACTGCAGTTTTTAAGATTTTGCAAAATTTAGTTTCATAAGGTTTTTAGATTGCTCCGAAACCAATTTGATAAACCTGAAAAATTCCGACCAAATTTTTTTAGTCCCACCCCCCCCCCCCCCGAAAAATCCTAGACCCGCCCCTGTATACTCAGTTAACTTTGCGAGTCAATTGGCGACTAATAGCAGAAGACCGCAGGTACTTGAACCATACACCTCTGTAATGGTATGTGTTGAATTGTTAATATTCGTTACGTATGTAATGTAACCTGATCTTATATTTCCACAGAATATTTCGAAACAAAGCATTTGTTTTTGAAAAGTTTGATGATTACGTGTTTAGACAGCAAATGGACGTGAAAGTTTATTACCTGGTGAAGACTATCCGCTACCTAGCAGACGTTTTGTTGCTGGCTGCTCTGTCGGTAGCACTGTACAACCAGTGGGAACTGACTAATGACGTCACAATCTCAATCTTAGCCATGATGAGCTGCTTTGTGTTCCCAGTGTCCATAGCATTCAGTTACTATTTCCAGATGCAGCCAGTCAGGTTATTTCAAAAAATATATATATAATTAATTGTTTGATCACTTAAAAAGACTCACTAGAAAACTTCTATGTAATATTTTCAGCGAAATTGCTGATGTTAGATTTTAATTCTTTTCAAACTAATTTGAGTGAGTTGTTTAGTTTTGTTTTTCTGGGGTGGGAAAACTTTGTACCGTTGTTATAGAATTTGTCGTTTGGCAAGCTTGGTCATCTCGAAGTTACTTGGTGATTTTAAAATGAGCATGAGTAACAGCCGATAAATTTTTGTTCTGACCATTGAAAATGGGAAGGAACTTTGTATTCGGGTGTTTTAGTAGTTTTCTTTTCAACTTTTTGTTTTTCACGCAAAATCATATAACACGATTAATCAACGGAATGGGTCGAGTGATATATCCTATTAAAGCCCTTTCAGTCGTTATTCGAACAAATATTCGAAAGGTGTCGAGAAAATTTGTTTTGAAATTTTTGGTCTAATTTTAAGCTAATAAGGTGAGCATGCAGGCTTACAATAGCTTATTTATGCTTAATTTAAGCCGTGGAAATAGTTTTACTCCAGTAAACTTAGTTTTTGGTGCCAATTTGGGAATCAAAAAAATTCTGCGAAAAAAATTTGAAAAATAATATGAAATTTTTGTTTTTGTTTTTCTTTAGTTATTTTTTCTAGAAAAACAGTTTTCCAATTGGCCTATATTACTATATGACTGTCAAATATGTCTAACTTTTTTTTGTTCGCACCACGCAGTAACCGGCTATCCTTGTTTTATTTTAGAAACAATATTGGTCAAAATTGAAAATTTTGGTGCCAATCCAATCCAGCGCTTGCCTTGACCAATATTGTTGTTAATCATCATCGTCATCATTATCATAATCGTCAATATTCTTTATTTTAGATGTATCATCTTGTAAGGTATTAGACTTGTGTTTTAGCCAAGTAATCTACTCTTTGTGGGTTGGAGCTCTGATTGGTGTCAATGTTTTCCTCTCTCGTGAGACGGAGAAGATCTACCCACCCACCCAGCAGCACCAGAAACAGACAACAGAACCCCTTTTTAGCTGGGAGTTTGGCAAACAGCTGGTAGACGGGATCCTTGTTGTTCATATAATAGTCTTCATCATATACAGTTTCACAGAACGGGTGACTGGCTTGACTCAGTTTGACACCAAATGGATCCACGAGACACAGCTCTTCGTACTCATAGGCTTCGGAGTAGCAGGAACCATCTCAGATCTGTACCTCGACGTTTGTTTGTACCTCATAGCATTGGCAGTAACTATAATAGCCATTAGGATGAAATCCTATTGGGCACTTGCTAACCTGGCCTCGCTTCTCGCAATTTCGAATTGCTGCTTCTTCCCCGCGCTAAATATATCGCCAAATAGTTTGCTTATAATAGCATTCATAACGGGGCTAGTTACGGGTCCAATCCTTGACTTGTACTTCAACCCCAGCTCGGTTTTCGACCGCTATATGCCTTTGTTCAAAGTGAAATACTTGCTAAAGTTGCTGCTAGTTGTCCTAATAATGTGCCTGCAGTTGATATTTTTCACGATTTGTGCGAAAACTGTGATGTCTGGTGAGCGAATCTACGTCACCATCCCGGGATTCATAGTGTTCGGATTCCTGTGGGTTTGCTTTCACTTAGTTTACTTCCTTACTATGTGGAACCTTATGAATCGAGTGACGGATTGCATGCCACATATTTCGAAACTAGACGAAAACACAAACGCGAGGTTGAGTAAAGTTATGGCTTCGAAAGGCATGCGCTACTATTGCATAATCTCACAGCGGTTAGTAACCATGGCGGTATTGACTTCAGTGCTTTTAGGAGGTGTTGCATGGCAAGCGAACACGACTTACATGTCTCTTTTCTTGGTCATTCTCCCTATTGAATGTCTGAGTTTGTCTCTTTTGAATGAACTTAGCTGCACTGTTGGGGGAACTTGCGTTGGTTATGCTTTGATAGCCCCAAACAATATTTACAGAAACGATGGAAATGTGACTCCGCTGCCGCAGAATCACGTGCAGGACTTGAATGTTAGAACGACAGAGCTTCTAGTAGCAATTCAAAACTTTTTCCGAGATCACTTGATTGACATGTATGGATGCGATTATAGCGTGAATGGATTAGAGCCAAAAATTATGGAAAATAAAGTGAAGGCTCTTTTCGGAAGTAGTACAACTGATGGAATAAAGTATGACTCTTATATTTTATACTATAGTGGACATACATACCAAAACGGAGACTGGGCCATGAATGATGGAACGGCCGTTACGCTATCGAACATTCTTGATTGGTGGCGCGAAAAAATGGACGATAAGTCCTCACGTTTGATCATTATGGTAGACTCCATAAATGGGCATCAGTGGAAAAAGAGTGTGAAAAATTGTAAAAATGTTTGCGTTGGGCTGCAATCGATTCAGATTCCGAGAAATAAGAAAAGGGATGTGGACATCGGGCTTAAAACAGGAGAGTTTACCCGAGATTGGATTGCGTTTAACTCTACAAACCAGACGAAAGATATCAACGGCCTGAGTATTCCAGAGTTTGCCTATTATACCGTATCGTCATTATGGAGTGACTATACTTTCAAAATGCCGAGCGATGCAGATATCATGAGTCATTCTCAGCTCCATTTTCCGAGGTTCACGTGGCCGTTTATCAAAATTGTGAGCTGTCCCTACTGGTCGATAAACTTGCTGTTTTGCGAGCCGCTGATTTCAGTGCTGCGTAGACTCAAAATGCAGTGGCTGCCGCCTAAAATTTTAGATACGGGTCACGGGTTTTATTTAGTGAGCTCTTGAATAATTAAGTTTTAGAGGCTGTTCTCATGACAGAAAGTCCAAATTGCAGGTTCAGTGCAAATTAAAGTTAGTGTTTTTCACTCTTAATTACAGATTTTTTTCTGACTGAATTCTGTTTCAATTGTTTATTTGCTGCTAGTCGGTCATTATGTCATGAGCGATTCCTCGTAAATTTAAATCATCGCTGTTATTATTAGTATGAATCAAAAATTGTTTCTCCTATTTTCATTTTACGGCCGTTAAAAGGTCGCTGTTGTGTATTTATGATAAAAAAATAATTGATAAATTTTCCTATATGAAGATTCTGCTTTACCGTATCAATCTAGTTTTCACTAAGTATCTTTTTTTAGAGGCTGGTCAGTTTACAATCCGCGTAGTTTGTTTAATCCGCCATATACAAGGAAAAGTTGGCATCAAGAACTAAGCTATTTTCAAATCAGGGAATATCATTTACCGTCATCCAGCTGTACACGTAGTGTAGCATTTGCTCCAAACCTCTTGTGTTTGATTCCAGATGCAGGATGCAATTTTTTAAATGATTGTTCTATATTCTTTAGCCATTTTTACACAAGCAAAGCTTGTGTGATAGCATGAACTCTCTTTTTTTTAACTAAGACGCAAATATTAGTGTTCATTTTGAAAGTTTTCTTTTGTTGCAGTATCTGCATAAGATAAATAACCAGCTATTAAGTACAGTCAATGCTAAGGATATAAACACAGACTATTTTTTTTTACTAATAGCACTTAGGTATCATGGATCTGTAGCGTAGAGGTAGGGAAGGAGACCCGCAAGAAAACAGAGGGTTCAGACCTGAGGAGGGTCGGCTGTTTTTAATGAGCTTTTTCGTATACTAGGTAAAATGCGTCCGCTTTATAAATTGAGGCATGTTAGTTGGTGAGTTTTCTTTTCAAATTGACTGGTTCTGCCAATGCTTCATAATTGGCTTGCGTCACTTAGCAATTACGTAGACTCATAATTAGCGTGCGTCACTCCAGAAATCATGTAGACTCAAAGTTTTACTCATTCAGTATTTCTCAGTAGCTTTATCGGTCATTTATTTGCTTGTTTATGCGAAGTGCAAATTCGCAATTGTGTTAAAATTCCTAATGGTGTAGTGCATTTTTTTGTGTTTCAATCCTTTTTTCGTATCTGTGGGTGGGAGAAAAAAGATAATTTTTAGTTTCCAAAAAGGACTTCACATATCGAGTTTTTTATTAAAATTAGTCTAACTTTTCTAGTTGGTTGGTTGAGATCATAGGCACTGTCTGTTTACTAATTTTTTCTGCAATTACTCACTTAAAGCTAATCCGGAAATTTTAAGCTTGTGGGTTACTTTTTGAATTCGGTTTTTCGCTGTATTGTTTTTAAGACTCGATAAACGTAGTTCAGACTTTTATAAAGGTCGTAATGGATTTTCAGGACAAAGTCTTAAAATTAGTTCAGGCTCAAATGTATTACTTATTCACGATTTCAGTTTTGGTTTCTTTTTAAGCTCAGTTTTTCACATTGTTCAAAAAAAATCCACTGTCAAACAGCCAAAGTGTAGAGGTCACGAGAAACGTGATCGATTTCTTATTTCGAAAATGGATTTTGAATATCAGATATCCCTGCGAAACGAAAAAAAAATATAAATATTTAATTATCCAGTTACATCTAGTTGGGTTAATTTTTTTTATCAAAAAGACTCAATCATAGCTTTAACGCCGTCTCTTTTTTTGAGAAAAGCGAGATTTTGTCCCAAAAAAATCATTTTTAGGGAGCAAGTTTTTTTCTGTTTAATTGCGTTCAATGAATTTTAGTCGTATTATTAACCCTAATGTTATTGATGACTGTAATGCTATTCACGAACTCTTCGAAATTGATCTGAAAAAAGACTCTACCAATTTTGTGCCTGTGAGAAAGTTGGATCTGGGTATGGCTGCAAATCGTTCTCTGGGAAAACTCGAATTTTTGAAAGTGTCAGCAGGTCATGATTTCCATGTGCAAAGACTTGATTCAGTAGTCACCTATCAAGTTTGCTCTTGTGCGCAATCTGATCTGTCTCGCTCCGAAAACAATGGTAATTTAACTTTTTTGATAGCTCTTTTGCAAGTTTGAGACTAAATGTTAGGGCCCGAGCTTCTAATTGTCAGGGCGAGAGTTAAAATATACCGTGTGGCAACTCCGATCTATTCCAATTTTCTGTTGGTTATGTTTACCCTTGTGAGCAATGGGTATGGCAATCGGGTACTTGACTGTTTCCCGTAATTGACTTTGTTCACAGAATGGTCAAAATTAGAAAGGTTATTTGACGAATTGCAAAGAGGTTTAATATTGATATGCGCACATAGTTCAAGCTATTAATTATCTTTCGAGAAAATACAATTTTGAGACTGTGTAAGTGCAACTGTTGTTGAGTATTGTGAACAAGTCCAATTTCATCTTTTGGCAAAATTTTGATTGAAAAACCAGTTTCCATTATTGTACTGTACTTGTTTTAACAAATGGTTTTTTCAAATGTTGAACTCGTGGGAACAATTTATACAAGAGATTTACAGGCATGGCATGCTGTTCATCTGAATTTTGTATTTCATTTCAAGTTTGCGAAATAATTTTTGACAGTGTTTTCACAAAAGTCATACTTTTTTTGTTTATATTACGTTTTGTGTGTTAATGTTTTAATCTTTAGGTACCTGATGTATACTAAATCAACTTTATTTTTTAACAAATATGTAATTTATAGTTTATCTATCTATTCATATATTACTAGAAAGCTTTTCATGAGATATATGCTTAAGAAGTCTCTTTCTTGTGTGTTACAATACTGCAACATTGTATTGCTCTAAATGATTTTAAAAAAATTTTGTTAAGGAATGTATAAGGTCGTTTTTCTGTTCCAAAATGCGATTGATCGATATCAGTTTTCCAAGGTTATCTAGGGTTTTAACCAAAGCTTTCCATTTTTATATGGAGGATTTTAACTACAGGTCTGCATTTTTTGTACATAGTTCACCATCTACTATATGTGATCTGTATCTATCTATTCATGCATTACTAAAAAGCTTTTTAATGAGATATATGCTTAAGAAGTCTCATTCTTGTGTGTTACAATACTGCTACATTGTATTGCTCTAAATGATTTTAAAAAATTTTTGTTAAGGAATGTATAAGGTCGTTTTTCTGTTCCAAAATGCGATTGATCGATATCAGTTTTCCAAGGTTATCTAGGGTTTTAACCAAAGGTTTCCATTTTTATATGGAGGGTTTTAACACAGGTCTGCATTTTTTTGTACATAATTCACCATCTACTATATGTGATCTGTATTCTAATCATGGCTGAAGAAGATAACGTCCAGTTTTTATACGAAAATCCAAAACTGATATGACCGTTCTTGTTACAAGTTATTTTTCTCCATTTTAAGATTTGATTATTACTGAGTTCTTGTCTAATATTTTAGACAAAATTAGTGTGAAAGTGAAACATTGTTATTGCATTGTATCGGCGAGAATGCTTTTTTCGTTTTCGACATAAGTAACGAAATAAAATTGAAAATCACTCATACTCTGTACCTAGTCTTGAGATTTCATGAAAATTGCTCCTGAAATTAGAAACGATTACGTTGTTCTGGGTGCCTCGAGTCTCGAGGTTATAGATTCAAGTCTGAGCAGCGATTGAAGCTCCAAAACTTATTAGTTTAGGACATATGGTCTTTTCTAACAAAACTATTTTTTTTGCTACCCATGGTTCAGATAAAGAAACACATTTCAGCAATTTGAAGGTTGAGTTCCGACGTTGCTTCAACCAAGAGAGAATTAACTACTGCAGAAGACTTGGTGCTCATTTTTTAAGAGTTGTTGAGTGCTCATTTTTTAAGCGTTGTTGAACGTAGTTCAGACTCTTATATAGGTAGCGTTTATTGTTTTTTTCTTTTCGTTTTATTGAGGAAGTCTTAAAGTTTGTTCACGCTAAAATTTGATTTTTCGCGGTTTGACTTTTGATTTATTTTCATAAGTTCAGTTCTTTTCCTTTGTTAAAAGGAGTTCTTCTCCTTTGTTAAAAGGAGTTCTTTTCCTTCGTAAAAAGGAAGGAAAACTCTACTGTCGAACAGCAAGTGTAGAGGTCATGCAAAACGTTATCGAGTTATAGTTTCGGAAATAAATTTTGTGAAAATTAATTTTCAATTTTCACAGTAGAATGAAAACTTTACCTTTTGGTCCAGTATTCTCGATTTGGTGCAATTTTTATTAAAACAACTCTCAATCAAAATTTGTTCAAGATGTTTGAAGAGTTTTAAGGCTATTTGTTTTTTCTTGAAATTCGAAAGATTTTTCAAAAAACAATTTAAGTTTGTTTTCTGTTTCTTTTTTCAATCTGCGTAGTAAACCAACTGCGCGGATTGGAAAAAAATTTCACCTATCTTTTGAAAAATCATGGTTTTAAGTTTTCAAGAAAAAACAAATGACCTTAAAGCTGTTTGGTTTTCTAGAACAATTCATGATTGATACTTTTTTGATAAAAATAGCTCAAATTCTGGAAATTTGACTAAACCGCCATACTCAAGGATAAATTGAGATGAGAAACTGGGCTTTTTCAAATAAGGGAATAGCATTTACCGTCTCGCAGCTGTACACATAGTGTAGCGTTTGCTTCAAGCTTCAAAGCACTTGTGTTTGGATCCTGTTACGACAGCTTGCAATTTTTAAAACAATGGTCCTATATTCTTCAGCCATTAAAAAAATATATATGGTGCAGTGCATTTTCTTGTGTTTCAATACTTTTAACCGTATCTGTGGGTGCAAAAAAGTTCTTCTCTGGGGTATAAAGTCGATAAAATAAATAAGTTATCAAAACCATTTAGTTTGAACATAATGAAATAAAAAAGGTTATTGAAATTAAAGGAGCTTTTAAACTAAATACTGTTTTATAGTGTTTTTGGAAACGGAGTTTTTTAAATCAGTCAAAATTTTATAGTTGGTTGGTTGAGATCATAGACACTTTTCCAATTGTCTGTTTGCTATTTTTTCTGCTTTTACTTACTTAAAGCTAATCCGAAATTTGTTAGCTTGTGGGTGAGTTTTTGAATTAGGTTTTTTTGCTGTATTGTTTTCAACATTCTATAAACGTAGTTCAGACTCTTATAAAAGTCGTAATAATTTGTTGTTTTTTTTTTAACAAAGTCTGAAAATTTGTTCAGGCTCAAAGGTATTACTTTTTTACGGTTTCAGTTTTGGTTTCTTTTTAAGCGCAGTTTATTTCCTCTGTTCAAAGGAAGGCAAACTCCACTATCGAACAGCGAAAGTGTACAGGTCACGAAAAACCCGATCGTCCTATAATTTTGAAAGTGTAATTTGATTTTCAGATGTCCCAGAAAAATAGAAATTTTACTTATTGATTCATTTTTCTCAAAGTTATCGAAAACGTGTTTAACTTATATTGTTGAAGCACTTCAAATGGCTTTAAGGCCTTTTGTTTTTTTTTTGAAATGCAAAAGATTTTTCGAAAACTGTTTTTTTTTATTACTTGCGCTCATTAAATCCTTTCCAACTGTCTGTTAGCTCTGTTCACTACATTCTTGAATGTGCTCGACATTATTTAAATTTTCAAAGCGTTTTTCAACTGTTGATTGCTCTTTTGACGAAAGTATTAACAGCTATGAGTATATCAAACTTGTCACCTGGATAAAGTTTCTGTCTTTTGAATTGGATCGATGATAATACTGTTTGCGAAATTCTAGCCTTCGTCACATCGACTGAGGAGTTTACTTTTAACTTTGGTTTTCTCTCTCTGGAGTTTGGCCTTTGATGCTGATTTAATGCTCATATTCTTATTCAAGCCCATTGATGACTGATTTAAATTGATCGTTCTCATTCAAATCCGTTTTTGAAACTATTAAACAGGCTCATCCAAACAATTAGCCTTATAAAAGCGCGATGCTCGCTTTCCGGCATTGAATGTATGAGTGTGTGAAAAAAGGTTTCGTTAGGCAGGGATGGATCTAGAATTTTTTCGAGGTGGGGCGGATTTATAAAATTTTTGATAAAAATTTCGCGTTTTTTCGGCTCGCGCTCCCTCCTCAAAATTAGTATGTATTGGCGCCTTTAGAAAAATTTTAGAGTCGGTCGGCCAAGAATGGATATCTCAAAATAGTACAAAGGGGAGACCCTTTGGGTCGGCAGGTGATTGAATCCCTGAGAGAGAATGGACACCCCCCCCCCCCCCCCCCCCCCTAAATCCGCCCCTGTTGTTAGGCTCTAATTTTATATTGGTTGTGTTTTTTTTCAAGCATTTTCGAGGCTGAGATTTATATTTTCTTGCCTTTTAGTTTTCCTTTTTGCTGTTTTTTTTTGCTCGTGCGTCGACTTTTTTCGTTTTGTGTTAAATATTGAATGCTTTGTTCGGAATTTTTCCTTGTACTTGCGAAACTCATTTTGACTAAAAACTTAAATTTGACTAAAAACTTAAATTTGTCGGCATTGAAGAACAATTATTATATGTAATGATTATTATATGTAATGTTAAATCTTGCCATTCACGTTTAGCATCATCTCTTGAAATCAAGCATAAAATTAGGTTTCAAATCAGTTTTATGTTGGGTTGAGTTGTTTTCGTGTTGGTGCATGTGTGAAAAACGTGTGGTTGCCTGCACTTTCAGGGTTCATTTGTGGAACTGTTGGTGTGCTGTGGCTCTGGCGTGACTGTTGTTGTTGTTGTTTTGCTGTTCGTATTTGGCTATTCGGCCCCATGCCAATACATCTGCGGGTTCAATTCCCAATTTCTCCTTCTTGTTCTCTCGTAAACTCTGCTCGTAGGTCCACATAGCTCCACAAGTAGTCTTCTGCATCGTCCCAAATGGACCCAAGTGGTTGGAGCAATCTGAACAAATACATAAAATGGTTAGATAATTTATAGGCAGTTGGTTAGAATAGCCACGTCATTTCAAGTTTGCTGCGTCATGGAGAGAAATGGACGTCATGGAGAGAAAATTAAAATTTTGGAAGATTTTCAGCTCTTAAAATTTAAAAGCGAAGCAATTACTTTTTCGCTGTTCACTCAATATAGACTTGTTTTGCAGGGGATTCATTTACAGTCCCGATTAGGCAGATCTACATGAAATTTTTTCCTCCAATTTCTAAGACGTCGAAGAGAATATTTAAGGATGCCATAGATAATAACTGAAGTTTGTCCCTGAAAATGGCGTAGGAAAGTATTGCCGGAAGCCTGTGCCAACTCTGATTTGCAATAGCTACTGCGCGAAACATCAGTCCTCAAAGTTATCCTATGCTGTCATCAAATTCGTCAAAAATTTCAAAGCATCCAAATAAAGTTTAGGTTAGTAAAGATTAGTAAAGATCATTTATCCACGAGGGATAGGACCAACATACGAGCTGTACAGCTCATCACGGCGAACCGCTGTTGTGCCCCTGCTTAGGTTGAAAGATGAAAACTTGCCTCGAGGTGGGAGATCTTCTTGGTTTGGTGCCGCAGAAGATGGAATCAGGCTTTCACTCTCGTGCCAAATCATTGGATCTAAAATAATAACAAAAAGAAAATTTAATAATTTTTTATAGCGTCGAAACGTTTTTTGAAACATTTTTCAAGTCAGCTATGTTGAGTTTCGTTCTCTCAATCTGAGTGTCATTTGTTGCGAAAGGTTAAGACAAAACTTTTATTTGCTTTCTATTTACTTCAACAAATTGCGGCGTAGTGGCTGGTTACAGTGCGCCAATGTAGAGGGCGGTCATCTAAAACACGCTTTTTTGTCTGAACTTTCTGTTAAAGGCATGTTCCTCAAAAAAAGGTCTGCAACATGGATGTTTTCCAGAGCTCGACAGAGTTTCGAACATCAAGATGGCGCATCGAACATCAAGAGATTAGATCTTATTTCAACAAAATAAGTTTTTCTTCGAAAGCAATACTAACTAGTCTTGGCTTGCACTCCTCTTTCCTGGGCCTGTTTGCGACAACACACCAGCCACGGACCCCAACTGATGCGTCTCTCTCTGTCCACGCGACACTTGTCACACTTGTACGTGAAAAGATCCCGTGTGATGGAAGTGTTCATGTTCCCCCTTTCATTCACACCAGTCGAACAGTTTTCAACCGTTTTCAATAAAATGTCAGCAGAAAGTTAACAAAAGTATATGAAGTAGTTAAATCTTTGAAGTTAATGGTGTATACTCTTTTCAACAGTTTTCACCTTATTTATTAGAATGGACAATGGACACACAAAAAATAAAAGGCTCAAGCTCTCTTTGTATAGTATTTGAGTCGTGGGAAAATGAGGCTGCAGATGCACAGTTGCTAGCAACAATGATCAACAAAAGCTTTCGAGTATCTGGACCTTTTTATACCAGCTATAAAAACATTGTTATGTGGCCATAAATCATGATAAATGACAAAATATTGTTCACTAAATTTAGCTGCCTCGCATGGAATACCAATAACAAATGTTGTTCAAAATTAAGTTAATGGCAGTAATGGTTATTTTAATACCAGTAATGCGGTAAGCATGTTAATTTTCATTTTTTTTTTGCAAATTGATATTTTTTGGGAAATATTAGACAGTTATTAAACATTACAGCGCATCTTATCGCCAAAAAATATCGCCAAAGTCTCAAAAAATTAAAAATGAGACAAAATCTTCCTTGCTGTGCTGACCTAGACCGCAAGTAATTTTTCTTATGTGAAACCAGGGTTAAAACCATGATTTTTTCAAGAAATTGTCACGAACTTTTAGGTGGGTGAACTTAGCTCTGGGGAACCACATATTTTTTCCTATATGCATAATTAACAAAATACTAAGTTCACTAGAGGTGGTAATTAATTTTTCTAAAAATACAGTGGGGTTTTGTCAGGGTACAGTCAGGGGTTGCAGGTCTTGCCTCCAACTATGACTGCTCAAATTTTTTTAGCTTCCGAGATTTGTCGTTTTTTAAAAATTTTTAACAAAGATCTCATATTAATTAGGTTTGAAAAAAATCGAAATTTGAAACTCTAAATCCTATATTTGGATGATGTCAGAGTACTAACAGAAGGTGTCTAGCCTCCGGAAGAAACTACTCTACGCCTTTATACTCCGAGTTAAAAACTAAAATTTTTCAAACATCAAAAAAGTTTCTCAAAATTTGAAAGTGTCGACCTTGTGGTGCTGCGATTTGAGGGTACTACCAGCAGTTGCAGATATGGCCTGTATTCGATGATTGTTTAAACCTCTTCAGTTTTTGAGTTGTAATATTTTTTATTTAGAAAGAAATTATAAAAAGCTCAGATTTACTTTTTCCTCTCTCATTTTGAAATTTCTGCCCCATTGGTGGTGTGATGTGAAGTTACTCCTCACAGAGGTTGTAGATGTGGCCTCTAAATTTCATACTTTTATCCTTTCTGTGGCCAAAGATCCAATCAGCTGTCTATCTGTCCAACAAGCCATCCCTCCTCTTAGCGATCCTCCCAACTAGCAATCCTTTAATCAAACCATAAACCCCTCGATCAAGCCATTTATTCATCAAGCGATCCAACCAGCCATCAAGTCAGTTATTTATTAATTGGATCATCCCTCTAGCCTTCCATTCATCACGCCATCCATTTATCTAGCGATCGATCCAACCAGCCATCCATCCATCAAGCCACTCATTCGTCAAGCGATCTATCCAACTAGCCATCAATCTATACAAACTGGCATCCAACCAGCCATCAAGCCAATCATTCAGCAAACCCATCCAGCCGTGCAACTAGAATTCAACCGTCCAGCCGTTCATCAAGCTATTATTTTACTAAGCAGTCCATTGATCTAGTCATCCATCTATCTAGACATCCAACCAGCTATCTATTCAATCATATATCCATCCGTTCAACCAATCAGCCATCCATCCATCCTTTTAACCATCCATTCAGCCAGCCATCGATTCATACAAAATCCATCCTTTCATCTAGCAATCCATCCAACCAGCCATTCATCGAACCAGTCATTCATCCAACCAGATATCCCTCTATTCATCTAGCCAACTATCTATCTAGCCAGTCTTTATCCTGCCATCTAACCAACCAGTAATCTATGGAACCAGCCATACATTTATCAAAGCAGCCATCCGTCAGTTCAGTCACCACTCAAAAAATCCATCACTTCAGCCAGTCCTCCATTCAACCAGCCATCTAGCCATTAATTCGTTCATCGGTCCTACCATCCATGCATTCATCAACCCCTCCGCATGTCTTGCCCTCACTACTCACATGCATCCACCCAATGAGCCCTTTTTCCATCCCTTGAGCCACCGTACATCTAGCCATTGATTTGGCATCCGTCCATCCAACCAGCAATCCATTAATCTAGCTTTCCATCGATTCAGCCATCCATCCATCCTGCCTTCCATGCATCCAGTCAACTTGTCTTACATATATCAATATAGACATATAGACCTCTATCAATCCTTTCATGCATCCAACGATCCACCAATCTCAACCACCCATCAATTATCTGACGGTCCGTCCACTTCTTCAGCCAGTCCTCCATCCATTCGTTCGTAATTCATCTAGCCATCCATCCATCGACATATCCATTCGTCCCGCATCCACCCATGAAGACATTCTAGTACCCCATCAGGCATCCATGCAGCCGTCTGTGGTCGATGTAGCTATCAATCTAACTAGCCATCTCCTTCAAACAACCCATCCATCCATCTAACAAAACATCCAACCAACAAGCCATCCATCCCACAAGCAATCCATACACCTGACCGTCCACCCATTGAGTCATCTCTCGATCCCGCTATTCTGTTAGCTAACCATTTATTCATCTAGCTATACATCCATCAAGCCACTCATTCGTCAAGCGATCTATCCAACTAGCCATCAATCTATACAAACTGGCATCCAACCAGCCATCAAGCCAATCATTCAGCAAACCCATCCAGCCGTGCAACTAGAATTCAACCGCCCAGCCGTTCATCAAGCTATTATTTTACTAAGCAGTCCATTGATCTAGCCATCCAGTCATCCATCTATCTAGACATCCAACCAGCTATCTATTCAATATATTCATCCGTTTAACCAATCAGCCATCCATCCATCCTTTAAACCATCCATCCATTCAGCCATCGATTCATACAAAATCCATCCTTTCATCTAGCAATCCATCCAACCAGCCATTCATCGAACCAGTCATTCATCCAACCAGATATCCCTCTATTCATCTAGCCAGCTATCTATCTAGCCAGTCTTTATCCTGCCATCTAACCAACCAGTATTCTATGGAACCAGCCATACATTTATCAAAGCAGCCATCCGTCAGTTCAGTCACCACTTAAAAAATCCATCACTCCAGCCAGTCATCCATTCAACCAGCCATCTAGCCATTAATTCGTTCATCGGTCCTACCATCCATGCATTCATCAACCCTTCCGCATGTCTTGCCCTCACTACTCACATGCATCCACCCAATGAGCCCTTTTTCCATCCCTTGAGCCACCGTACATCTAGCCATTGATTTGGCATCCGTCCATCCAACCAGCAATCCATTAATCTAGCTTTCCATCGCTTCAGCCATCCATCCATCCTGCCTTCCATGCATCCAGTCAACTTGTCTTACATATATCAATATAGACATATAGACCTCTATCAATCCTTTCATGCATCCAACGATCCACCAATCTCAACCACCCATCATTTTTCTGACGGTCCGTCCACTTCTTCAGCCAGTCCTCCATCCATTCGTTCGTAATTCATCTAGCCATCCATCCATCGACATATCCATTCGTCCCGCATCCACCCATGAAGACATTCTAGTACCCCATCAGGCATCCATGCAGCCGTCTGTGGTCGATGTAGCTATCAATCTAACTAGCCATCTCCTTCAAACAACCCATCCATCCATCTAACAAAACATCCAACCAACAAGCCATCCATCCCACAAGCAATCCATACACCTGACCGTCCACCCATTGAGTCATCTCTCGATCCCGCTATTCTGTTAGCTAACCATTTATTCATCTAGCTATACATCCATCAAGCCACTCATTCGTCAAGCGATCTATCCAACTAGCCATCAATCTATACAAACTGGCATCCAACCAGCCATCAAGCCAATCATTCAGCAAACCCATCCAGCCGTGCAACTAGAATTCAACCGCCCAGCCGTTCATCAAGCTATTATTTTACTAAGCAGTCCATTGATCTAGCCATCCAGTCATCCATCTATCTAGACATCCAACCAGCTATCTATTCTATATATTCATCCGTTTAACCAATCAGCCATCCATCCATCCTTTAAACCATCCATCCATTCAGCCATCGATTCATACAAAATCCATCCTTTCATCTAGCAATCCATCCAACCAGCCATTCATCGAACCAGTCATTCATCCAACCAGATATCCCTCTATTCATCTAGCCAGCTATCTATCTAGCCAGTCTTTATCCTGCCATCTAACCAACCAGTATTCTATGGAACCAGCCATACATTTATCAAAGCAGCCATCCGTCAGTTCAGTCACCACTTAAAAAATCCATCACTCCAGCCAGTCATCCATTCAACCAGCCATCTAGCCATTAATTCGTTCATCGGTCCTACCATCCATGCATTCATCAACCCTTCCGCATGTCTTGCCCTCACTACTCACATGCATCCACCCAATGAGCCCTTTTTCCATCCCTTGAGCCACCGTACATCTAGCCATTGATTTGGCATCCGTCCATCCAACCAGCAATCCATTAATCTAGCTTTCCATCGCTTCAGCCATCCATCCATCCTGCCTTCCATGCATCCAGTCAACTTGTCTTACATATATCAATATAGACATATAGACCTCTATCAATCCTTTCATGCATCCAACGATCCACCAATCTCAACCACCCATCAATTATCTGACGGTCCGTCCACTTCTTCAGCCAGTCCTCCATCCATTCGTTCGTAATTCATCTAGCCATCCATCCATCGACATATCCATTCGTCCCGCATCCACCCATGAAGACATTCTAGTACCCCATCAGGCATCCATGCAGCCGTCTGTGGTCGATGTAGCTATCAATCTAACTAGCCATCTCCTTCAAACAACCCATCCATCCATCTAACAAAACATCCAACCAACAAGCCATCCATCCCACAAGCAATCCATACACCTGACCGTCCACCCATTGAGTCATCTCTCGATCCCGCTATTCTGTTAGCTAACCATTTATTCATCTAGCTATACATCCAATCAGCCATTCATCTAGCCAGCCGTCCATCTTGCGATCCAACCAGCCATTCATTGATTGAACCATCCATCCAGGCATCTATCCATCATCATTAGAACCATCGAACCAGCCATTCATTCATCTATGAAAGTAGCTATTCATCAGTTCAGCTATCATCTAGACCGCCATCCATGAGTCCATCTAGCTATCCATCTTGCTTTCAATCCATCTTTTCAATGATGCAGCCAATGATTCGAATGTTCATTGATTGATCCAGCCATGCTTTTAACCAGCTAAACATCCATCCTTTCAACCTATTTTTCTGTTAGAGATAAGCGTTGCCATTTTTCAGGAGCAGCTTAAGTTGCAGAGGGCCATCTAGTATTATTTAGGAGTTTGAAACTGTTTATTTTTCAGCTGTCCATCCATTCACCTAGCTATAACTAGCAAACATCATCCATTCAGCCATCCACACAGCAAGCCATCCATCCCACAAGCCGTCAATGCACCTGGCCATCCATCCTTTCAGTCATCTCTCAATCACGCCATCCACCAGCATAACCATCCATTCAGCTATCGATTCATTCATGTAGCTATACCTAAAGTTCGTACGTGCGTTAGGACACCTAAAAAGTATGTGTCCTTGGGAAATTTCCACTTTTACTCATTTCAGAGAAAATACTAAGGTTTTGTGTGAAGCCCATTTTCTGAATTGCTGATTTAACTCATTTCATCATGAATCAGTACTTCCAACAAAAATCAAACAGTTATCTCTAGATTAGAATGAGTTCGTAGTACTATACTTAAAAATTGTTTTGTTGATTGAAAATTTACCAAATCCGATTTTGAATAATTTTTTTTTGGTTAAATGGCTTCGGTTTAATTGGTATTGGCTTAGTAAATTCATGTTGCGTACTTCAACGGGCGATTTTCTCTAAAAGGCGTTGCCTGTTTCATTAATAACGGGTCGTCAAAACTTCTGATTTGAAAAATTTTATGGCTTGAATTTTTTATGACTACAGTTTTGTTGGCGTAGCGATGTTCGACCTCAGACTTAAGCTTATTTGCCGCTCGGTCATGGATTCTTATTTCTTGCTAAGGCTCCTTATGAGCCGCATCCAAGACAAAAGGTATGAAGACTTTGTAGGAGTAGTTTTTTAAATAGTTTTTTTTAACTTTAGTTTTTCGAAAAAGTGACTTCCTGTAATGCTATGTTTTGATTGTATCGCAAATGTTGCGAAGCTCCGCTTCGGCTCTGTGTGAATTATGCTCTATGGGCTGTAGCTGTTGCTAAAACTACTGAGTTCACGATTTGATTTTTTGAGTCCAGATACAATTAGTACAAGTATACCCGGTTGTTGTGCAAGTAGCCCAAATTGTTCCGACTATATTCTTTTTTTAAAAATACAGTTTTTTGTTTTGTTTTCAAAGTAGTGTCGTTTTTTGTGCGTGGTCTGATAAGAGGATCTGACGAAAGCCAAGAACTGAGGCGTATTCGACAATCTTAGTAAAACAGGAAAATTGGGCTTTGATTTAGTCGAAAAATGACAAGGAAAGTTTATTCCATATTCATTGTTGAAGTTTTTTGGCAGATGTTTTTTTTTGAATAGTTTAAATTTTTATTCCCAAAACAGCTCTAGTTAAATTTAAAATTTAAAAAATTTAGTTAAATTTAAAAAGCTTAAGTTAAATTTAAAATTGATGGCCGATCCTTCGATAAAAAGTCTGCTGGCTTGCTTTACTCGCTTGAAATTGAAAAACTTGACCAAATTATTAAACCAGTTTTTCTCGACACTGGAACTACTTTTTCGAATAGTTTTAAGGTCATTCAAATTCAAATCAGGCCAGAAAGGGTATCAATTTTATATCATTATTAACATTCCGATTATTATTTGTGGTAAATTCTCTTGGTTGAAAAACAAAGTAAGACTGCTCGCTTATCTTATTAGCATGAAACTATGTCAAAAATCAAAAATTCCGAACTAGTTTTTCTGAACACTGGGAATTTTTTTTTGAACATTTTTTACATGTTGTTTGAATCACGGCTAGAAGAGATTTAATATGATATATCACTCGGCCCATTCCGATCATTTTTTGTGGTACCTGATTTTGCGTGAAAACAAAAAAAAATTCGATGGTTGGAACAATATTTCGGATGTGATTGTTTGAATCAATCTCCAAGATAGTCCAAATTTCCCAAAATCTTAACAAAAGCACCAATCGTTTGAATTAATTCAATTGAAGTTTATATTTACAGATCATGCTACCCTGAGCAACCAACAGTTTCTTATGTTTTCATCTCTTTGACGCGATTTAATTGTTGATTCATTGTTTTAGATTAGGCCACCTGTAATTTCAAGTAAAAAAAACCTGATGAAGTCACGATTTGATTTCTCTTTGCTGCTATCGAATCTGACTGATTGAATTACATTATCTTCCATGTGACTTTTTGAGTTAACCTCTAAAGATCCAACAAAAGCATCCATAGCTTGAATTGTTGTTTCAGATAAGTTCGATTGATGCCTGGAACGGTGGCCACCAAAGGGGGCATCGCGGAGGCTAACGAACACTTGCGACAACTATACGCTAGAATAGACGAGCTAGAAACTCAGTTGCAGGCGCAGATTATATACAGAGAACAATTGACCAACTTGCAGAACGACAATTTTGAAATGAAGGAAATGGTCCACAGGTACGAACAAAAATTTTCAAAACCTGTTCATTTGGAGCTTGACTATATTTGCATGAAATAAAAAAGTAATTTAAATAGGTTTCTAGCTTTTAAAAGAAAGATGAGAAGCATCACTCGTCAGGGTTAACCACCTTTGTTTTCTCAATGAACTTATGATAGTTGATACTGATTTATAAGTACACGAAAACTAATTTGTTATGTTTAATTTCAAAAGTGTTGGTTGATTTTTAAATTTGTGACTAGGTTACAAATCAATAATCAAGAGTTAGTGAACTATGCCAGAGAACGAACCAATGATATTGCGAGGCTGCAGAGCGAGAACAAGCAATTGGTCGAAATAGTTTCCGATTTAGCCAATCAGAGAAGCGCAGTAGATGAGTGGATCTCGCTAACGAACAGAGCTACACATACTGTCAACCAACTGATAAGTTCCAAGAATTCAAAGTTTAAAACGGTTAAACAATCAAATTATGTTAATAATCATGTAAGTGCGAACGAATTAAACGGAAGCGTTGTGGGATCAGCAAAGTCAACAAGTCCAAGGACTAACGGAGTGACTGAGACAAACAGTAAAAAATCACTCAGACAAAACTCACGCTCTGAATCACGCACTGAGGTTCAGGCAAACAACTCATCTGTTATACATGTTGAGATGCATGAAAATGAAAATGGATGTAATTGAAAACTTTTGCTGTTTCTAAATCTTAATTCCCACATATCGTTTTTTGGCGTAGAAAGCTATTTTTGGGTCGATTTAAAAGCTGATATAAGTATATTGGTAGCCTAAAAAGGAAATTGGAGACATCACGAAAGGTATTCTTGAGCCGATCTCTGATCTTAATTTATCTATTAAATTTTTTGTTATATTTCTTCTTTTAATTTGCTTTTGCAAGATATCAAATTTAAATTCTTTTTCTCTTTGTTTTTAAACAGAAATAAGTAAAGACACTGTTGAATGATGGAAAATACAATAAATAAATATAAATCATTGAATGACTTCCTAAACACCTTGTTTTTCCAGCGAATGCCAGTTTCTTTTTTCAGAGTCATGCACTTATTGAATACTCTTATGAAGGTCTTAGTGATTTTTTTGTTCATGCTCAAGTTTGGTTTTTTAGCGGTTTGACTTGTGGTTTCTTTTTAACTTAATTAAATTTCCCTTGTTCAAAGGAAAGCAAACTCCACCTATCGAACAGCAAAAAAGTGTTAACAGGTCGCGAAAAACATGAACAATTTCTAGTTTCGGAAGTGAATTTTAATTTAATGATTTCCCAGCGCAATAAAAATTTTACCGACTAATCCAGTCTTTTTAAACTGGGCTTATGCTATTGAATAAAAGTGTTCTCATTTTTGTAACCAAGTGCAAAAAGCCTTAAGGCCATCTTTTTTTCTTTGACTGTTTTGAAACAACGTCAAATTCATAAGACTATCAGTTTTTTTCGGTTTCCTTTGCCTTCATTGACTCTTTTCCATTTTTCTGTTTGCTAAGTTTACTTTTATTACGCTTGCCATTAACAAGCGTTTTCAAACTGCAATATAGACTTTTTTCTGGTTAACAACTAGTTTAACAAAATCAGTTGAATCACTTGCTGACTTCTTTTCACTTCTCTTATTCTCTTGTCTTAACATATTCCAGGTTGCCTTTGTACCCTAAGGTCTGGAGTTAGAGTCGTCGCTGGGCCTTGTTTTTTGAGTATCAAGGAAATTGAAAAAAAAATCCGAGAAAAATCAATTGTTGGTTTTTTGTTTATTCTTTCTAGTTTTGTCGGCTAAAATGCAACAACGGATTTTGCTTGAGCTGTAGACAATTTTTATTGTAGTTTGTTCATTCAAGTGCAAGTGTTGTTCATTCTAGTTTCAGGGGAGACTTGAAATATTTTAATAAAACCAAAAAATAATTTTCTTTTCGGTTCCAGTGGTTTCAGCTCAAAAATTATTGGCTTAGTTGCCACATCGTTGATTTTTCTTGTGCTGTAAACAACTTTTATTGTGTTGTCCATTGTTTTTTAAGGTGGGACTTTAAACTTTTTTTATAAAATAATTTTTTTTGCGGCTCAATTTAAGTCTGCTCTAAGGTTGTCTGTCTGCTTGATTTTTTTTCGGCTTTTTATGTTTTTTTTCTCTGTGTGTGTGTGTGTTGTATTGCAAGTGCTGCGAAGCTCCTCTCCGACTCTGTGTAAAATATCAACCGTACAGTTTACCCCTAACTGATAGATCTACTGAAGTTGGCTAATCGAATTAGAGAAGAACCGAATGATGGAAAAATTTCAACCTGTCGGAATCATCGAAAACATTTATGATGGAGGGCGTGCAACAGCGCTGAAGTTTAAATCGCATGAAGCAAAACGTTTTGCGAATATTTAAGCTTTTCAACTGGCAATTTTTTTTCATTGTATAGAGCTAAAGTTGGGAGAGCACTTTGTTAATAGCTGTAGCAATTTAACACTAGCAAATATTTAGGACGCCTGAGTAGTTTTTTTTGTTTTGATTGATGTCAGAAGCAATTACTGAAATTTTCTCGATTTTTCCTGCAAGCAACTTAATTTTCCATAGCATTATCTTTTCTAGTCTTTTTCCTAGCTTGTTTTGAAAGAAAATTCCGGCAATCTTGAACGCTGTCAATTTTCGGTATTATTGTTTTTCGGTTTGAAATAAGCAAAAACTATACAGTATTTTTAAAGCATTTACTGGGATTATGTTTTTTATGTATAACAAACATTTTGTTTTTTTTTATATAACAACCATGTAAGTTTTTATAAAAGAATGTATATCAACGAGATTGGCGAAAACAATTTTCGAGATATATTTTTCACTCGTAATCATCCAGACAGTTTTATTCAAGCAAAAGGTTTTTGGATAACGAACTTATTTTTCAGATTTAAAATTGCAACATCCAACAATAAAAAGAATATAACTGAAACGCTACAGCATTGTATAATTAAAAGTTCACTTCTATCAATATTATTAATTTTTACAACTTGCGATAACTCAAAAACTGATTTTTTGGGCGGAACGGAACGTCTTATTTCATGCACAAAGAATATCGGAGATACTAGGATAGCCTTTTTCTAACTGTAAACAGGGGTAGCGCTTAGATTTCCGATCAGAGTTTTAAAAGTTGCAAAAACGTGAACCGGGCAAATTTACATGAAATAATTAAAACAAAAATTATAATTTTTGTTGCAAAACGGCGTTGTTGAAAACGAGTTTCGATTTATAATTGTTGTTTTTTAAGCCCCGAGAGAGCGCGTTCGGACTGCTCAAACTGAGTCTCAGAAACGCCACAACTCGGTCGAAGCCACGGGTTAAACTATTGTTGTTGTGGGAACAGCTATAAAAATGTAGAATGGTATGGGGAGGGAAATGGACAGTGAACGAAGTTTGGTGCCACATTTGGGTCAATGCGGTTGAGGCGGATATTGAGGATTAGTTTCTCCTAGCACCACGGGGAAGGGCCTCCTTTCAGAGGAGGCGATACCTGGTGGCCTTGCAGAGGAGGCGATATCTGGTCTACAGGGGAGGGATTTTCACGGATGATGTTACTGCGATGTGGCCTGTCTGAATTTATTTTAGTTGCAGTTGTTTTTGAAAAAATTTAAAACTAATAAAATAAAAAGTTCTTAGTTCATTCAAATTGGTGGTGGTAGACATTGAAAAGTTGAAATTCTGAATGAAAATGTTCTATAGCGCTCGGTTTTGTGCGCCCTTTTTTACGCGGAAAGCATCATTATGTAATGTTTGTTGCTTTGTTGGTAGCATGAGACCAGTGCAATCTTAAATCAGTATCGCTGAAGCAATGTAGGTATCCAGTAAAGTTGGCTTGGACTGGTCCCGAAAATTTCAAGGCAGAGCTATAAATCTCTATAGATCTCTATATTGCGAGGATGTTCGCTCGCAAAACTCGCCAAAATTTACGGATGGGTCGTAATAGGGAAGAGTTTTCAAGAGGAAAGCATGAGTTTCCATGTTCATGTTTGGGTCATTAGTATAAATTTTGGTGACATCAAAAAGACAATCTTTTAAAGGAGAAGAAAAGAGACATTGAGGTTAAAAAACGGTGCAACTTGGTTAGAAAATTGAATAAAATGAAGAGTTCGAGTTTATACTTGGAACCTGATCTAAACTACATTTTATGATTGGATAAATTAGATATTTTACCACTGTAAAGTATTTAATATTAACCAATCATGATCCATCTAACTAACAACCCACTTATTTGTAAGTGCTGAAATTACTTGTAATTTCAGCACCAGAGAGATTTGAATTTAACTTAGAAATTAGTTGACTCTCCAAGAGAACTTCAGCAGCCGCAATAAACCAGTATACCCTAGATCTATTGAGCCTAGCAGAGACTAGTTAAACAACCTGAGACTAGATAGTATAAGAGTAAGATTAGGATCGGTATTAGACTAAGAAGTTGCACGAATCTATCCGGCCGAAAATAAGATAGCGTGACGAGCAGACGGTGTACCCTATCCGAAATTACTCTATGAGTTAACCACCTCGGTCATAACTCATCTGGTGCGACCATAAGTCTCGAACAAGACCTTAATAGCTTAGAATTAACCAAAAATAGATTAGAATTTAGACAAAACATTTTTAAAATGTTATACGACGATAATTTAATCGAAATGTCTCTACGACTCAATAGATCAGAGCCAATATTCCGAACGATAATAGAACTACCCGGAATTGGAAGAAGACCTCGAACCAGAGACGACATACGACAAAGTAGAAACTTACCAAATAGTTATATGATAGTACGGCAAAAGCCAACACAAACTTTTATATTTAGAATCTTATTAGCAATGAATTTAGATTTTCATTTGCAAACTTAAATCTTGAAGCCAATCTTCATGCTCATTACAGGCGCTAAACAAAATATTAATATACAATAACGATTGATAAAAATATCTCAGATCGTTTTCCTAAAATTCTGCAGTATTATATAAAACATGTTTGGAAAATATTTTTTGAAAATCAAAATAAAAATTAGTAGCATGACAATAAACTGTTAGTAATCATAAAATCATCAGTTGTCTCAGCTTCATCACCTAAAACATAACAGCAATCATAAGCTCACTAATATCATTAAAACACTAAATCTTTTCTTAAACAAATTTAAATCATTTTAAACTTAAATTCACTTAATTTTAAAATCAGATCATCAAGGCTTATCCTTGGATCTTAATTCATTTTCTATTTAATTAAATTTAAACTTGATCATCAAGGCCTATCCTTGGATCAAAAAGAACAATTTTGTTCTCCCCTACCCACTTAGCTAGTGTCTAACGACCTCAAACGTCGATTCACTATCCAACCCTTTCAAAAAAAACCCAAGACTAATAGAAATTTTTGAACAAAACTTATCATTCAAATTAGGATAAACAGTGAAGAACTTCGGTTATTCATCCTTCACTTGAACCCTCCTCTTACCAGACCCAGGATAAATCTTAGACTTAGTAAGTTTAAAATAGTATCTAACGAACTACTCGCGTTCTAATTATACCTGAACCTTGTGATCGATTTACTATTCTCCAACCCTTGAACACAATCACTACCCTTAAGTAAGATTAAGTAAGTTAACACCTTAGCTTATACTAGCCACGAGAAAGTAAAAAATCATTCTTCGGAATTGATATACTTTTCTCTCCAACCCTGAACACATAGACCCAGGTTAAGCTAACCAAAAAATCGTAAGGACTAACAATTTAAGAAAATAGAAATCATCTAACAACTTTTTGCATCCATCATCCTAAACCTTAGGTCATTTAAAAATCTAGGAAACAAACAAACAATCGTTTTGCACAAATGTGAAATAGAAAACA